CCCACTTCCATACGAAGGCTGTCCGCAGACGAAACCCAGTTTCAAGGTCCTTGTCACCGCTCGCGCTTCCCTTGGTGACGAAAAATATGCTACCATCGACCTGAACCGTACCAAAGCCGCTTCAGCAGTGCCTATAAACCATTCGGATCCGCTACCAGACCAACTTCGTAATCTCAGTGTCAAAGATGAAGATAAGTTTGACGAACTAAAGCAAATTCTTGCTGCGCATGTCTATCCGCCAACTGTCGAACAGTTTGTCGCCATTTTTCCCGAGGGTGAACAATCTCACATCCTGGCACTTCTCAAGTCCTTTCCGATCCCGGAACCAGTTGACACTGACTGCCTCGAATTTATACATTCAGAACTATGGCTAGCAAACTCCCTGTCCAACGATAACGCGACCGTCCACGGAAAGCTTGCTCGGCATTATCTAAACATGATCAGCGCTGATCTGCCTGGCATCAGCATGGAAAACCTAGAAGGCGATGACCAGTCTGTCTGGACGTCGCAGATCTCCGCGGGGCTAAAATATGCTGTGAGCCACTGGGCTGACCATGTCAAGCTCTCTTTGGACACCTCGGCAGACCTCATGAATCTGATTTTGGGGACCTTCAATCCTGACTCCGACACCATAGAGAAGTGGTGGATCATGTTCATGACCTGGAGTTACGACATTTCACAGTATTTCGACCTTGAGAAACACAACACCACACCGCTCCATCTCTTCGCGATGTTCGGTCTCTCAGAGCTTTTGCGCGCAGCTGGCCCGCCATCTCTGATTGCGAACTACATTACGACTGAAGACGCCCAACAACTGGAGCCACTCGATGTTGCCATTCTGCACAATCACACCGACATAGCAAAGATACTTATTGCCAGCCGGAAGCCGACCACGGACTTCCATTGTACGTTTGCGACAACGTCCAATGCAGAGCTAGAAAAGTCAATCTTCGAAGTTCACGATGAACGGGTCAAGACACTAGAGAAGAGAGATGCTGAAATGATGTTACGGCACGCATCCTACACCGGAGACCAAGAGCTGCTCACGCAAACAATCAATTTCTTGAACCGAAAGTCACCGGCCGGCTTCTTCCCACGCGATGATACAACAGAGGTAGAATTCATCATTGACGCTGGTGATCACCGCTTGCTGAAACCAATGTTGACTATCATCAACATACAGGCAAAAGCACAACACATCATCGAATGCACAGTCTCCCAACAAGAGCCACGCATGCTCGAGGAAGTTCTGAATAATAGGATCATACAACACATGATCAAGAGCAGGCAAATCTGCCTTCGCCCGGCTTTGAACAGTGTGCTCATGAACAAGATCCCCTCGATGTCAGCATTGCTTCTGAATGAGCATACAATAGACGCACGGGATGACACCGGATACTTGCCGTTACAAGTCGCCGTCAAGTACCCGAGCATTCACACCCTAAAGCTTTTCGCCGCGCTCCAAAATTTCGATTTCAATCACGGCACGATCGAGGAAGGCGTTGCGCTCAATCTCATGCTGCACAAGGCCGGCAAGGAGGTTGAACTGACCTACCTGAACGATATGCTAGCACGAGGTGCGCGCATGCGCTACGAGCACTTCGGTATGACCGCTCTCCATGTCGCTGCCGAGCTCGGCGAAACAGCGACCATGGAGACCCTTCTGGACAACTTGAACGACGAAGAGATTAAGAACGATATCAACTGTACGGTTAGCGCATGCCACAAGAACAAAGGTCGGCAGGGCAAGACTGCGCTGGCTATCGCTGCTATGCTTGGTCATGACGAGATCGTCCGCTTGCTTCTGGACAAAGGAGCGAATATCGCCGTGGTAGATGCCGACGGGAAGACTGCTGAAGACCTGGCGAGAGAGGCCGGGAAAGAGGATGTTGTGGGGGTATTTGAGGAATTCGAGAAGGAGTTGATGGGTGGTGGTAGTCAAGGTAAGGGTGGCGCGAAGAGTGGTGCCAAGGGCGAGGGCAAGGGGAAGAAGAAGGGAAAGGGCGGGAACAAGAAGTGAAGTAGTGTATGATGCTAACGGTGGATGTCATTAATTTGATCGGGGGTTATTCGCTATTCTATTAAACATCGGCATCCAGTATCTTTGAACACACTCCATACTGGCTTATCATCTGTGCAACAACTACGAAACCCCCTATAGTAGGTGTACCTAACATTAAGATCGCCAGTGCGTGGACCCCATAAAATAATCTGCTTCCTTTTGAGGTCGGTCCAGGTACATCTCGTGTGGCATCGAAATCAGTCTTTCTCATCAAGTTAATTGTAAATCCATACCCTGCGCCAACACTGAGCCAAGCCATAGTCCAAGCTCGTTGTGCGTGCGTGCTTTGACCCTTGTTGAACTTTGTCATGAGGCCAATAATTGATATATGTATCCCAACTCCTAGGTAAAGGACGGCAAGTTTAAGCACATATAGACCCCATGGGCGCTCTAGAACTCGACGTCTACCTTCACCTGTCGCGACCTCATTGCTGGTTTCTCTCAGTCGTCCGATTGTGTCTATTGTCGAGGGATAAGTCTTTTGTAACTCGTCTGATACACTCGACCCAACGATGTACATAAATGTTCAATCTGGTCGTATCAGATTCCCTGCAAGATTGACAATGCTCATGAGGGCGTATTGTGTTACGGTGAATCCGTAAGCTGCATAACCAAATCGCTCAGTCTGGTTGCCTCTTGTTCTGTACATCGTGTAGACGCCGAAAACAATTTGGACGATTTCTACGATGGCTTTGGCCCAATTGTAACTATAGGTGACATCGTTTGCGGTTTTTTCCCTTTTGCTGAATCCGAAAAGGAAGTCGTACCATTTTGACGTTTCTTTGTTGGCTTTGCGCTTCGGTAAAATTTCCTCTTCGTCGATTTCAAATTTTGCGTCATATGGAACACATTCGAGCCCGAAGTTCTCAGGTAACCAAAAGCAGCCGTGAATTCTTGCAGTCATCCACGGACGGTATGAGTATGAGTGTTCCTGTGGAGTTGAAACTGTGTTTTGTTCAAGACCCGCACACCCCTCCTGTCCCTCATTCTGAGCAACTGCACTGTTCATTGGTAGGGTTCGTAAAGATTCCTGCGCATCTTTGTCGGGTGTGGTTTTCCGAACGACCATCAATAGCGCACCAGATCGTGCAGCTGTCTCCAATGGGGTTGGAGCAAATATCCCCCAACTTAAGATAGCTTCGATACCAAGGCCGAGACCAAAGAAAGGAAGTAACAGTGCACCCAGAAGATTGAGGGTTCGTTTGATAGTGTTGACGCCTGGCGGAGAAACCACCGTGGCAACATGCGCGAGATAGTTTCCCACGAAAAAGATGAAGATGTCGTACCACTTCGTCGGCCGACAGAGTAAAGAGCAGTCGCCGTTGTGCCAGAGTCCTGGGACATTTATTGAACACTCAGCATTGGTGTAATTCATGGCGAACTCTCGTGAGCTTCGGTAGTGATCTGGAAAGAATGGTGCACAAGGCTGAGAGGTGTTGCGATTCTGGAAGATTAGAGTCAGCGTGGCATACTGCAGCCTCTTATCCTCTTGTAAAAGTTCAGCTGCGGGCGTCCTTGGCGGGTAAGCCCACGCCGACAAGGCTGAGACTCACACTGATCTCTCGAATAGCGCGCAAGCACAACACCATAGTCCGCGATCCAGCATCGACGGCTCAAAAACTTTCTCCTCGAACAAAATAACATGTCTCTCGATGATGGCTCTCCAGACGATCTTTAATAGCGCTTGGGCGCATCCCCCTGCGTATCCGAGTGGCAAGGCTGAAGATTCCGCGCACATCAACATGCTTAAGAAAGTGGTAGCACTTCCAGCTGAGGACTTTACCCCGCTTTGAGCCCCGAAATGGCATGCAGGCTACGTCCATGGCGACAATCATCCTGCTGGCAAAAACGCCTCCTTGTCGGTGAGTATACAAGTAGGGGCTGAGCTATGGTACTGACATTAGTGGAGCGCTTGATGCAGGGTACATCAATGGTCAGATGTCCGCCCCTGGCTATCTTTTCGGAAACGCGTGCGCGGATCGCACGATCTTGGGAACTGTTAACATAGCATTCCGTTTGTGCATACACAAGAAGAGCAACGCGATGAATAAGGATCTTTCGCTGAAAACATCACACTATACAAGAGAAAGACTAGACATCTACCCTGAGAAAATGATCGAAGCCAACAAGCTAGACGCCTACCTTGCGTTAAGGTTTTGCTAACTTTGATTCTGATAGTGATGTAGTCTATAGAGCACCGGCAGACTCCTAACTACTGTCCTATGTCCTTTCTGAACGGTATCACCTCATCGACCGTACCAAAACCAGCTCTTCGCACCACAGAAACGCTGTCCTCGTACTGGCGGATATCATTTAGCCTCTTTTTGCCCTCACTACGGCAGTGACGCCGAGGAGACGAGCGCTAATTATACCTACACGACGAACCCCTCTCAAACAAGCTATGGTACCGCGACGACCCCTAGACGACGAGCCACTCGCGACTCGCTCGGTACAAACGATATGCGCGATGTCTGAACCCCGCATCACGTTGTGGCGAATTATTCACAACCGTGATGGTCTCTCGCATGAAATCATGGCCGGCGACACGATGTTCGGAGCCTGGACCGTGTGTAAACCTCACCCACTTACGGTTCCTATGTCTCCAGCCATACGCATACATAAGCTGCGCAGCCTCATTCTTTCTTCCGACATTCCATGGCGCGTACAGCAACCTCTCTCCGTCTTTTTCATATTCCGCATCCGCACCTACCCACAATAGCCTCTCAACCGAATCCAGCCGCCCATTCGCCACGATCAGGAACAATGAGTTTGACGATTTGATGTGCCTGTTGTCTATAGAAAAGCGGTCGACGGCATCATCGGAACAACCGGGGTATGCATAAACTATTCCTCCACTTTTGCGTGGTGGGGTAGGGTGAGATGAACTCCTCCAAAGGCGATGATCACAAATCTCCGTGAACTTACTTCGGAGACGCTGTTAGTATGATGCACCAAAGTGGTGCGTGGGGCTCATGGCCAAGAGTCCTGGTATCTTCTCATTCCTTGTTGCCAGGGTTACAAGCATGGGGAGCAACGCGCATAGAGTCTGATCGGGAAGAGCTCGGGCGAAGATCGCTTTGAACATTTCGAGTTTGCCGTGAAAGTTTGGAACGCTGTCCATCCATTTGCATATGGCCTCGACTACTAACAGATCCCATCTTGCCAAGGCTGCGAGGAGGAGATTTTGGGTGAGCAGGCGCCTTGCTACGTCTATGCTTGTGAAGGCGTTGCCCTTTGCATCTTTGAAGTGCTGGGCAAGGTGGTTGAGGAAGACGTCGATGATAGCATGCGGGTTTCTGGCCTCTGTGATGGCGATATACAAGTACTTGTACAACTGTTTGTAAGTCAAGCGTCTGACTGAACGGAGCAGCAGTGTAAGCATCTCATGGCTTCCATGTTTGGCTGCAAAAGCGAGGATCGTGGTACCGAAGCAGTAATTCAAATCGTCCACTCCGCTGTGGAAGCCGGCGAATGCTTCGAGCACCGCACCTCTGTCGTCCGCGTCGATAGCGCAAAGTATTTCCAGAAACTTGCGATCATTCTCGATGCGCTTCTCGGGGCGGTCGTTGATGTTGTAGTTATCGTAGTATGGCAATACCTTGGCTGGCGCTGTAGAGGACCAGTACGCGACTAACCAGGTCTCCTCCCAGTACTCGTGCATGCAATAGCTGGTCCACCGGTTCAACTTCTCATGTCTAGCCGCGCGGTCTCTTTCCGATATCTCCAGCTTGTTGAGCTGAGACTCATACACAGGGATGAAAAGGTGTGCGAACAAACTGCGCTTGGCACCTTGCTTCAAAACGCGATGTTGGAGGTATGCATAGCGAAGACCAGCTGGGACGGCACCCCAGAGACGTTTCCGATGGACATCGATGAGATAATTTTGTAGTGACTTGAAAACGTCGTCTGTGATGAATCGTGAACGCACTTCCTCGTTGAATAGATCTATTGGATGTTAGTTACAGGAGAAGATTGACTGGGGTTGAGCAGCGTACAGCTAGTCAGTCTCAACTGCCAAAATTCGGCGCGGGTGTAGGAAGCGCAAGCTAGCTCCAAGATACATTGGAGTATTTCGAGTGGTACCTTCATTCTCGCAGTCAACCGGTTGAGATGAAGTTGAGATGAAGAGTTGATATCGAATGCGAATGTCGGTGGTTTTGACGGACGAATATCTTTGTGTGGGGGTCTAGGTAATGTTCCGTGAGTCAAGGTGAACCGTACCTTGGTTGACCTCTTAAATTCAATGCGCACATGCTCTGGAAGCACAACGAGACCAAGGCCCGTGCCGTTGGAGTGGCGCTCAAAGTTCTGGATGGGCTACATGCAATACTGGTCTGTTCCGGTCGGGTGAAGAGACACATCTCGCGTCACGGATGGCTATGAGCTTCCGTCTTGCATCTGATGTGCTGAATTAGTCGTGCTAGCTGTTGCTCGCCTATCGCAATCGCGATCACGTTAATACAAGCATGCGCTCCAGAAGTACCATGGCGTCGAGAGTGTTTGCAGGGTCGTAGTTGATTGCGCGGTCCATCGTCGTTAGAATTTGAGTCTGTGATTTATATGCGATGATTTTGTTAATGCGCGAGGTGGCTGGTCTGAGGGCGCTGGTATGACGCAATCGTGACTCGCGCTATCATGCTGACTATGCAGGGGCATCACAACATTCGCGATCACTGGAAGGTCGTTCTTACATTCTCATTGCTTTCCGGATTAACTGACTTCTTGTTGATACATGTACAAAGAATTCTGAATCGGCAATAGCCAGCCATAACCTCTGGCACTTCCCAGAATCACCACTGCCTACACACAAGCGCCTCCCGAGGTCGCTCCCAGCATCGCGTTCTACACCAACACCGCACTTGTCGAAACCCGCGTCTTCTGATTCAGAAACCAGCCTACCAGTGCACCTGGAAGGTTGCGATCTTCCAGTTGATGTCAGGTCCTTCCTCTAGCTATTTGTGAATACGATGCCGCCGACGCGACTGTTGAATTCTCTCTTCCACAGTGGCATCATGGACCTTGGGAGTAGGTTGTCACCATCGGCGCCGAATACTTCCAAAATGACATCATGGCTCTCGGCAATCTTGCCCGCACTGGATGACCCGTACTGTCGTATGATCGCCGTATGTAAGTTGATGAGCTTGTCTTTACGTCGCACCACGATGTTCTTGAACAGAGCCCTGAGCGCCTCTTCAGATGGCTCTGGGAAGTTTGTGTTGACGTGCAACTCTCTCATACTCTCCGGAAGCATGTCACCCATGCAAGGGATGTCGATGTGCCTCCATGCCCTCGCTCCAGCTGGGACATGCGGATCACGGCCCTGTCGCTGTCCGCTCTCCAGAGGCGGTCCACAGAAGCATTCGACATCAACCTCCAGCTTCTGCAATTTTGTAAATCGCAAATACGAGGAAAGGCCATTCACGACCTCGCCATGCAGCTCGTCAATGGTGATGGCGAGTTCAACAATAGTATCGCTATTGTAATTTGCTAGAGTCTCGAGCATTTCGCCCGCATTCCAGTCGTGTTCGAGACCATCCCATTTCGTTTGGTGTGAGTACTTAAAGACCTCAAGAGCTGGGGTATTTGCAAGAAAAGCCGAAAGACCGGTAGCGTCCATGCAACAATAGGCAAATTCGACGCGAGTCAATGGAGATTTGACATTTGGGCTAAGCCAATTGAAAGGAACGCCGCCCCAGTCCTCGTCGACCGCCACGCAGCTGACAGCGTAGATGTTCCGGATACTGTTAAGTGTCATAAAGGGCGCAAGACACTGCAGGCCAACTCTGACGTCATAGCCTTCCTCCACGAACGGCAACAAAGTCTCGAGCCGGGCCAGGGGCTTTTGTCGGTGCCCATTTGCATTAGACATGGCGACGAGCGACTGCACATGAGAAACGAGAGCTTCGGCGCTCTCACCCTCTCTGACCTCATGCCACCTATCAGGTAATTGCAGCGTCTTAAGGTTGGGTAGAAGACTCAACAAAGCGACGGTCGCATACAACTTGTCCATGTTCCACTGGTCACCTGCTCGGTCTTCTTCCAGAATGCGACCCCACCACTCTTCCTCGTCAGCATCGGCGTAATATTCGGCGCGCCGCAGCAAAGCTTTTATATGTTCCATCTCCTGCTCATCTTCGCGGAAACTGTGCGGGGTGGCCTCATACGGCATCGCATTGTCTTGCCGTCGGTCCCAGAGGGAAAGAGTTTCGATATACTCAGCAATAATCGGGTCGCGCGAGATGTCGTGCAGGATAGCCAGCGTGTCACCGCGACGGCTCCGGCTCATGTTAGTCGTATGGCTCCAGGTCTTCCGTAAGTCATTGTGCTGTCGGATCTGGGACGCAGCGCGTCCGTACACAGTCTTACATGAGAGCACGAAGCTTTCAAGACCATCAGGTGCGGTACGGTCAATGATCAGGTCAAGAATCTCTGGTGGAAGATCGAGCAGTCCCATTGTAGCTTTTGGATGGCGCTGCCGGCGTCAATGCCGCCAAAAAGTAAAGGGCAGGCGAAAGTGCCGGTAAGCAGATGAGTGGCGAAGTTGTGGCTTTAAGTGTCAAACGTGTAGTAAAGGTATGATTCCACGGTTCTGATGCGAGCTAGGTGAAGCTACTGGTGGCGGCTCTCATCTGTGCATGAACGGATTCTAGAATCGCGACAGCGCAGGGTCCAGAGATGTTGGGCAGCGGACGAGAAGGTCCGAAACTGGCAAGTAAGCGAAAAGATGAGAGTCGTTCATTGGTTTCGGTGTAAATCTCCTTGCTTCTCTCGTCTGAATCCTGTGGTGGGGTGAGCTAGCGACGCTTTGGGCTTAGCCTGTGCAGAAAAAGAAGGCTCTCCCAGCTTCGATCTCCGACCATATGGGCCTCGCTTAATCACCAACCTCACCTTACGTTTGACATCTCGCTACGGTAACACGAGATAACTACGACATTGGTAGTGTTTGCAACTCTCCCGATACGCGCAGTCTTATCTACCTTAAAGGGCCTTGCATTCCTGACCTGGTCGTCGGCAGCGTCTTACAACAGTCAAGGAGGACTGCAGCAAAGACAAAGCTCATGCCATTGTTGATGTATATCTCTTGGTCTGTGGGGGTTGCGTTCATGATCCGCGGATGAGATGCCCGTCTCGCAGTGCTGCAGGGTTGCGATACACAATCCGCCCACATCCCTTGCGCAAGATAGCCATCTACAGTCAAAAGGTTTGCCTAGATGTCGGAATCGTCCTCCAAAGGGATTATGCTGCATACGCTCCGTTGATCAGCTTGTGTTATGTCAGTCCAGTCAAATCGTGGCCCACACTGGCAGTTGCGCAAATAACACGAACCACCTCGGCAAGAAACCTGCTTATAGACTGACTGGGGTAGCTTTACTGCTCACCAAACCTAGTACTAAGAGCCTCGACTGGAGAACTGCATTAGAATCGAAGAAAGCGAGCCGCTCGGGCCTTGGACATTTGATCAGTCAGGAAACATCCTTCCATGAAGTGGATACGCCAATTATCATGTCGTGATCTCAGATCAACGGAAGTTGTTCTCTTCTGCGTACCAAAGATGTTTAAGCTTGGTATAGCTCCGGGGGTTCTTCAAACGAGTGGATATCCGCTTTCGATACGAACCCCACCCTTAAAGACAACGACTTTGACTACTTGACGAGAATCTACCCGAGATTCAAAACCCGACAGCTCCTAGTCTACCCAGTCCATGCGGTCGAGCCCGGGTGAGTCTCACTGCTGAAACAGTGAAGCCAGCCCTCGAACCGGAGAATGGGTTAGCTCATTTCTTATTGACCTAGTCAAGAGCCCGGCAGCTCTCGACTGTGACTTTCAGCATCCCACGAACAAGAATGAATACAGTCTTTACCCTCACCGCCAAGCCGCTGCTACTCACCTTCGGGACATGTCGTTGTCCGTTGCTATCTGCCGCTACTATGGATGATGTCATGAAAAAGATCGAAGAAGAGTGATGGTTCAAGATTGATGCATTGTCGCGCGGGATGATCCTGGAGGAAGTGACTCGCATGAGCTTGTCTTTGCCGGATGTCCTGTACCAAATAGTGCTGGCGCAGGAGTAGTGCTGTTGATACGGGTCATCCCTCCGGTCCAATCATGGCGTTTCCGAACGCGATATCACGTGGCCCAAGGAAATACATTGGATAGCATACTTGCCTATCTAACCACGATCTCAACAACTATCGCGGCCATGTTATCAATTTGCGCTCGAAGCACTTCACGTAGGCTATTGAGAAGCATTCTCAGAATGTTGCAGTCGTCTTGTCAAGCGACAAGGGGTTGCGCGGCCCAAAACGTCGAATATTTCCGGTCACCGTTCCTGCCCAACTGTTGACAAGTGGCCCCCAAGGCCGGTACATCTCTGCACATCATAACGGGTACTATCGTTGCCGTCGCTTCGATGCAGGATATTCATCACGGTCTAGCCGTCGGGGCATCGGGCTGCAAAGTAAGAGTGCCGTGCATCAACGGTTGGGTGGAGTTGGTGCGGCGCAATACGAGAACTCTCTTCGCCAACGACCAAGACTATCCCACAAAGCGAACAAACACTGTGGAGCCCAGCACGATCGGCGTGATGTGATTTCATCTTATCAGCAGATCGTGTTATCCATCGAAGCAAGTGCCGCTTCGCTTGAGGATTCTCCCTTGACAAGGCCAGTTCGCTCCAATCCACGTTCGCGCATGCCGCAACTCCTCGAGAGGTACGTATAGCCTTATGTTGCTACTCTCAGTTTGCTTCTTCACTTCTTCGTGCAATGAAAACTTGCGCACTTCAGTCATAAAATTTAGTATTGGGTAATAACACCGAGCCTTCTAACCCTACATGTACATGCCGACGTGGCCTTGCCCCGCTGCTTGCAACTCCACAACATTTGGGCTCCAATGCGCAGCATTGTGATCTCAGTTCCTCAGTTCCAGCGCTGCTCGAGATCCTCCAGCGGCTGCGGGTCTAAATTACGAAGTGAAACGGTATTAGGCGCCGGTGACACTTCATCCTCCCAGGCATTACCTTCGGCTACTCCCGTTAGGAGCCCGTGATGCGGGTAGGCATTACGACGACCATCTACATCTGAATGACTGGGCCGGCGGTGATGCTGAAAAATCTTCTCAATCTGTTCGCCAACCGATAGAGGCGTGTAGTACACAGATGAGTCTCTTAAGTCGATCGGAGATGGCGATGCCGCTGGAGGTTCGTCAAGCGACATTGCATCAAGGTTGGATTGAGTGAGTGGTGACGGCGCGGTCACGCGTGGGTCAAGATTGGGCATATTCATCTCTTCAATCCGGTTTGCACGCAGCCTGTGTACGTGCGACGGATGCCGTGATTCAGTAAAAAAGCCCTTGAGCTCCTGGCACGCATGGGCAACACTGTCGGCTAGACGGTCCTCCCAAACTTGTTGACCTCGTCTCGGATGATAGTCGCCGTATGCCAAAGCGTCGTCTTCATACCTGTGACTACTATGAGTTATGTGCAGCTGCTCTATCACGTACTTCCTTCGCCGTGCTGCAGAGGGCGACTTTGTTGCTGATGCATGGGACGATCCAGGGTTCAGTTGTTTGACGTCTTCGGCAGACTCATCAGTACTGCTGGGAGTGTCCTGACCCTCACCGCTGGAGTCGTCGTCACGTACATCTTCCTTCTTCTGAAACGTGGGTTGCGGGGCACGCCGGTGGATGTCGTACTGGAAGTTCGTCTTTCCTGTCCGCTTTTCGTCGATGAACTGGGGAAATTCATTGAGTGCCTTTTGTGGCTGACCACGTCTGTTCATGCAAAATTTCTGTATCTCAGCGGGAGTGAAGAAGTCGGATGGTACCATACGCCCAAAGCGGCGGCCCATGCGATTGAGCTCTTTCCGTGGCACAGTTACCAGCTTGTCGCTGCCAAATATGCGTGTGAATGTGATGCCAGCAGTGATGTCATCAGCGAAACCGAGGTACACTTGGGTGTCTACACGTCCTGGGCGATACAAAGCTTCGTCTAATGAATCGGGAGCGTTTGTTGTCAAGATGACGATGTGGCCTTCTCGCGATCCAGGTCCATCTAGAGTGTTCAGCAAACCACTTAGAGTGACTTTTGTCCTCGACGGGGGAGGCGGCGGAGGCGGTAACTTTTTCTTTCTAGAATCCACATTCCTACGCTTCTTCTTCTTTGGCCTTGCATTCCATGAGCTGATGGACTCTGAACTACTCTCCTCCTCCTCCTCCTCCCCCTCATCTTCGTCACTATCTTCTTGTTCTTCCAAAGGCGGCAGCGCCATGGTGCGTTCACGGACAATGCCCGCAGCGTCAATGTCTTCGAAGAGGATGACGCAGCGAGCGGGCAGATTCTTCACATCGTTCTGCAAAATGGTGTCGTCCATGCCTGCAAGGTCGATGACGCAAAGCGGCAAATTGTAATGACTCGCAATTGCGGTAGACAAGCTGGTCTTGCCTGTGCCAGCCGGACCATAGAATAAGTAACCTCTCCGGTATGGCGTTCCATTCTGGTAGTAATAGTCCTCCGTCCCATCGGCAAAGAACACCTGGAGATCAGTCAGAAGCTCTTGTTTCTTGAGTGGGTTCATGTCAATGGTCTCAAGACTACGTTTCCTCGAAGTATGGTTTACATTGCGATGGGCAGAGACGTAAAGGACATTCAGGGACGTCATCTGGCCGCTGACAGTCTTATGAACGGCTTTCAGCAAGGCTTCGATGGGCTTTTTACTGCCCCACATGCAGCGTAACGTGAGTTTGTTGTTGTAGTTTCGGCCATCCGGTTTGTACAGCAGGAATGGTACGCCTTCGTGGAAGAAAGGAGTGTAGCCAGCAGAAGCTATGAGATGGTGAGAGTTGCTCTCATCATTGTTGGCGGTTTTTTGTTCATGCGACAAATCTTTCCACTCCAGATGCTCGAAAGTCGGAAGCCAGGCGAACAGCTGGTTGGACGGTTGCTTGCTGATCCACATCAAGAGGTCGGTGACCAGCGCATCGCTACTGTCAAGCTCAAGTGAGTTTGTGAGGTTCGAACTGAGCCAGTCGTATGTTGCCTTGCCGTATGTGCGAGCGGGAATGCATAAAGCAATAGCCCAAACCAGGTAGGTGAGATCTATACCTATGTTGCAATCGATCCAGACCTTGATAGCTTGGAACAGTGGCTTGTTCATGCTGTTCTCGATTGATGAGTCCATCAACGTCTCGAGGAAGTTCTTTTCATTCTTCACTCTTCGATCTTTCGTCTTCCGGCGAGAGTCATGGCGGCGGTCATCGTCGTCCCAGCTATCATCGCTCATTATTGAAAATGTTTTGACTGAGCTATTTGTGAGGCCGATAGCTCAATATTAGAAAGATAGGAAAGCGTACTGCGCTTGACGTATGAAAGTGTTGAAGGTTGAACGGCCGTTGAGAGTTGCAGAATGGCTGTAGTTGATATAAGACCAAGAGAGCGGTACATTATATAGACAGAGAAGTTCCCAGCAGGAACAGTTGTGAAGGCTCGATTGGTTCGTGCTCTGCTTCGGCGCCTGTCGAGTGTCGAGTGAAAACACGTCCGGTTGAAAACCATGGTCGGTATAGAGCCACTTTCACTCGCTCTATAAAGTGAAGGATACTTATTACCGGATCTGTTTCCATTGTCGCATTGTTAGCAGAGTTCCGAATCAGAGAGAAGAATGCATTTATTCTTGTGTCAGCCTTCTCTCAAATATGCGCAGTCAGCTCCGCAGATCAGTATACCAACTCCGATCATGTATAGGAAGATTACTAGGTAGTGACTTTGGAGATGTAGCCGATGCCGAACGCGTCGAAGCGGAACGCGCGTGTGGCGACGTTGGAAGCGTGGACGCGATCATGGCTACAGTCTGGCGGTATTCGTATGGATAACAAGTTGTTTCGTGATACGCTTGCTGGGTGTTTGTTATTTGCGATGAAAGTGTTGGGAAGGTGAAAGAAGGAAGTACTGTGAAGACGCGTGGCAGGGCCTGAGCGAAAAGCGCGCTAGCGCGCTCGCCCAACCATCCCGTGATTTGTGAGATCCCACCAGGAACAATCCACAGCAGCCTGACTGAGCCGCGACCGCCGCGCAACCTGCGATGAAGCTGCTCTTCCGAGTCGCGCATATTCTACTCGTACTCTTTCTCTCTTCTCTACTTGTTTACAGTGTTTATTACGCGTTCGCGATTCTAGCGGAAGACCAACAGCACAGCTCGCTGCAGTCAGTGCAAGACGATTCCGAAATCGACACCAACGACGTCTCTCGCAAGCCGTCACCACAAGAGATAGTATGTACCTGCTAATGGCCGCATCGAGATGACCGTGTACTGACGTTACACAGGCTGCATCGATGAACACATTGTGGGACTACCTGGACGACTGGGATGAAGAGCATTGCAAGAATGTCTGCGAGGCTTCCTGGGTTGCCTGCCGGTTGAGGAATTGCTATCATCTACCAGATGTCAGGAAGCAGGAGCTTTGAAGGTGGAAGCACCATAACTCAGCTTGTCGACCTGTAGGCAAGCTCGCCGCAACGCCATTTGGAAGTTTCTAGAGCATGTTTTGGCGCATCGCATCCAAATCCACCACATCCTATCAGCAGTTGTGTGGGGTTGCGCGGTACTGAAAGATGAATGTCCAATGCCGGAGTGCCCCACACTCTTCATCAATATCCGAGACCGAGACTCTGTAACCCCAAAGTACTAGGAGCACATGCATCGCTACCATTCGCTCATGCAATCCAGGAACGTGGGCATCTATTTCGCGAGAACTCCTGCACCTGCGACGATACTGGTCTCCAGGTGGTTTAAAGAGCTAAAGGACTCTCGCTGTGGCCAAAACTCAACCATTACAACCATATGGCTCTTCTCATCTTTGCCCTAGCCACAACGGCCACCTCGGTGGTGGCTTTCGACTGCACCCGCGAATATCTCCAAAACACAGCAGACTCCTACGTGGACCTAATGGCAACCGGCCAACACGACCGTTTCGAAAACATCGCTTACACCATGAAATACTTCGAAAACAACCAAACCGCCTCACTCCTCAACGGCGTGCCAGCCTTCGGTCTAATCATTGACGCCCACCGTTCCATCCTCGATACCACACAATGCAAGACAATGACCGAGCTCATCGTAACCGACCCCAAACACCCATACGTCATACACACGCAAATGACCCTAGACACCTCAGGCAACGTAAACCTCATCGACAGCATCGTGACCGACGCAGGCGACTGGGCGTTCAACGCGACCGGCACCTCCTACTGGAACAACCAAGAGACCTGGAGCCCCATCCCAGAATCCACCCGCGACACCCGCGAGACCATCAAAGCAGCCGGCGAAGCCTACGCCGACCGCTGCAACGACGTCTCCGTCCACGTCCCGTTCGGTACGCCCTACGCGCGTCTCGAAGGTGGCGCGTATACCGGTCGTGGTAATCTCTCGGCGAATACGTGTGATATTGGCGGGTTACCGGAACATGTCCCCATGACGAATCGCAAGTACGTTATTGATGAGGTGATGGGTGTTGTGGATATCTTTATGGGGTTTACGGGGCTGGATCGTACGAGGAATACCGAGGGGGCGCCGGATAGTCATATGTTTCGGGTTGAACGGGGGAAGATTAGATATATCCATACGGCGAGTGCGTGTTTTGTTGATGGGTGTGGGATGAATGGTACTGGTAAGTTGGTGGGTTAGAAGTGTTGCTGCTACGTGCGCTGACGTGTTGATAGGTATCCCACTTAGTCTTGAACGTCGGACGTAACGCTACGTCAGCGGGGTATCGGGCTTCATGAGTAGCTTACATTTGGTGTAGCCTATCGTTGCAGGCTCGTTATTGGAGGTCAATTCGACCGATTCTAAAGATGGTGCCGGCATAAGTTCTTCGGGACTACCAAGCAATGCCACTCTACTAGACACTGCTGCACACTCACTAGCAGTCCGTTCCTTCTCTTGCCTCAACACCCGCGCGATCTAGTAACCTCAGTCGGGCATCACGACCCTCTCTTCAGTCCCAGTTAACCCTCGCTTTAACCTCAGGATGATCCTCCAACCACTCCTCCACATCCCCCTCATCAACCACCAGTCCTGGATGCATCTTCATCGCATCAACAAGCACATCCCTAATCCCCTTGTCATCATCCAGCGTAGACGTGAACGCCTCCTCCAGCGCATCGGCCAAGTCAAGACCCTCATACTGCCAGTACACATGCAGAACATCCATGACGCCCTGGCGTGCGAAGGCTTTGAGGTCGTGCATGTCGAAGTAGTCGGCAACCGTATAAATGCGTACGTGCAGAAGGAGGTGGGAAGCCGATAGCGTCTTGCCGGCACATGGGCATTTGCGCTTGAAGATCTGGGGGGCGGTCGGGGGACCGTGCAGGAGGGCGTAGGTGCTGCGGTTGCAGTAAGCTGTGGGGTGGACGGTCTCGCCGCTGGGGAACTGGTAGGTTGATGTGTACATGTAGTCTAGGATGTGTTTCATGGTAACCGTGTCGACGTCGGGGATTTCTACTTCTTTGTCGTTGTTCTCCTGCAGTGGTTTAGCATGGAATGGATGTCAATGTAGTCGATGATACTCACGCTACCGTTGAAGCGGAACATGCGCGCAAAGTACGGTGATGAGGCTTCCAGGATGCTCTTATGGGTGATGAAATGCTGGCCTTCGCAGATGATGGTGAAGTCTGAGGTTTCGTCATTGAGTGCAAGCTTGGTTTCTTTGGTCTTGGGCTTGGATGGTGTTGGAGGAGCTCGATTTTCCTTATCGAAGACCTGAGATGCTTTGACCTGCGGCGTCTTGGGGACGATCTTGCGGATGGTGGTTGGTCCAGTTGGGAGATCCATGGCTTTGATGTGGTCTAGGGTCGGAATGGTTGTAGATCAACACGGGTATTGACAGAGGGCGATGTGTGACCATGGGCGTCACGAGAGCTACGAGCTCACATGGAAAGGTATTGTTGATCGCAGATTGTTTGATACGGCTGGTTACTGTCGCCTAGAGCGGGTGGGGAGTGGCTCGCGCAGCCGGTCTCATCCCAGCTTCACGCCTTGAACCGATGTCGTTACCACGGCGATAATCAGAACGCCTGCGGAGAGCAGGCAGCGATCACTTTCGACGCATTGATCTGCGATGGTAGTGGTGAGCGTGAAGATAACATGTCTCAGGCAAACATGTGGCGCTGAAGAGATCAGCCCGCCTCTAGTAAGCTTTGCAGGGATGGAGAGCGCGGCGATGTGCGCACCCGCGTCGATGACGCGCATGCACGTGTTGTGAGTTCAGGCTATTGTAGTTTCCACAGACCTATTAAAGTAAAGACCGGCCGTCAATTGGGGCAAAGTAGTGGTCTTAAGACAGCCACTCGCTTGAAGGCTGAAGGGCTTTTAGGGCTGAGAATGAAGTCACACAATTTGAGTACAAAGATATGTGTTATATCTTCTCGCTGATACAACTTCAGTAGTTCCAGCGGGACCGTGAGTGTCAGAAGGTCAGTCTTGACAGCGAAAGACATCGCCGCGTTTAGATACCATTGCGACGTCATCGCGACTACCTCAACTACGCCTGCGGAAATTCGCCGATGGAAATCGTCAGTCTGCCGATGGAAATCATGCGAAGCCCATTCGTCAAATAGAAAATCACCGCCGCCAGCAACAACCCCCAGGCACACCTGAACATCTTCCCTCCTCGCCTCAACCCATACGAAACAAGCATCATGACGACACCAGTCATTACGACAAACTCCAACGTCTTCGTCAGGAGCAAGCCTCTGCCAATAACGAGACAAGCGTCCCAATCGAAGATTACCATAGCCTCCCTAAGCCACGCGGCCGCCCTCATGAGCACGAGCTTTTCCAGATGCTCAGGGTGTCGTCTCATAGCGACCTGCCCACTCATGTCGATCGCGATGCATAGAGCCTGGACGACCATACGCATTGCGGTCTTGGACAGATGAGCCCTGCAATCCGTACCTATCAGAGCGGAGAGGAATGCCATCTCAATGGGAGCGCCATAGAAGTCATCCAGCCCGATGAGAAGCCCTATCGAGAAGAAAAGCAAGGTCAACCCCAACAAAGACACGAACACCAGCTTCATGTAGTACAGCCAGAAAGAGAATCCGTCTGTCCATGTCAGTTCTCGTGCGAAGAAGGCATACGAAAGTATAGCCATCTTCTCTTCGTCATTTGCTGTGTGTAACCGTCCTAGCAGGGGTATGTTGGCGACTTGCGGGCTTGCTAGTACAGATCCAACGAGCAGTGCGTGGTCGAGCAGTGCTTGGGTGTAGCAATTCGACAAGAGATGGCACATGATGTAGTTCATCGGGCTTCCGTATGTTACAGCGAGAGGGGCCGAGCAGAGAGAGCAGGTCGTCATGTTGAGCTTCAGAGTCGTGATCTTTAGACACTCGCTGCCGATGAGGTGGCCGCAGGGTAGGAGTTTTACGGCCTTGCATGGGAACTCGTTTGGGTCGTCTTTGTTGTCGACGGCGTTGAAGGGACGCATGCATACGTAGCATTCGTCTTCTGGGTCGGGCGAGTCGACGTCTTCTGTTTTGTAAGTTTTTAGTGCGGCTGTGATGCCGTAGATTGGCTGAGTTGATGCCATTGCAACTGAAGTGATGCTGAAGAATGGCGGGTTTTGAAGTGGTTTGATAGGTTGTAGACTGATGCTAGTAGCTACATCGAAAGCTTCGTGTTATAGTGGTATTCACGTTCAGTGTATTGATAAACAGGAAGGAGTGAAACGAGCGAAACTGGCAACCAATAGTCACAATGTTTTGAATCCACCGTCTGCACCCTTTTCATGTTAAGCAGTAAGATACTTGCGACTAGCATGATTCAAATCATTATGTTTGCTGCTTTGCAGGACGCAGCATAAGCTACCACAACGTTAGTCACATTTCGCAACAATCCCAAGCACATCCATAAACTCACGATGAAATCCATCTTGTCCTCTCCACTCCACCTCCTCAAATCCAATTCCACCGTCTTCACAGGCTGGAACCCATGTCTCGCATACATGGGCGCACCCATGGGACTCGCTTCAATGAACGCCTCAACACCAGCCTCATCCGCCTTCTCGCAACCCCATCGCACTAGCATACTCCCCGCTCCCCTCCTTCCATGTTGCGGCAGTGTAACCAGTGTGTCTAACACATAGTATGGTCTCCTCCCCAGAATCTCCCGCTTGTTCGAGTTGAACAATTTGAAGAGTTCCGCGAACATATCCGGGTCACTCTCTTCGTATGGTGGTGGGACGGTGAGACCGGCGTCGACTTCTTCCCAGGTACGCTCTTTTGCGCCTTCTTCTTTGGGCTTCACGTAGCGCCAGCGTGCGCCTGCGATCATCTCGCCGGTCGAGGTGTCGACGCACTTGACGTAGAGTATGCCCTTGTTGGTTATGCCATCGCGGATGTCTTCTGTCACTTTGTCGAGGGTTTCCTGGGATGGCTCGCCGCGGGCGTAGAGGATCTTGTTGACGGTTGGGCGGAAGACTTCGTGACGTATGCGCATGTATTGCTCTGCTTCTTCGGGCTTGAGAAGCGAGACTGTGAGGTTCGGGTCTGGCATGTTGATGGTTGGAAGACTCTGTAGGAGACGAAAGACACTACTCGACCGTGAGACGTGAGGATGGTGATGAGAGTCACTTCAGAACACGACGTGGACTTATGTACCTACATATCTGCCTAGGGCAGAGTCATACCTTCCGCGTTTGGCGTGCCCGGCATGCCTGTCGGAATCGGAGTAGTCGACCAATAGAAGTCCGAAGCGAAAGGAGTTGGAGATGGGATATGATTCTTCTTACCCAGAAAAATGATGTACCTGTCATTCTACATCCTGCACGCAAAAGAGCTGACGCGGTGGCCTTGTCACGTGGCCATCAATGGATGCCCAGGTGATGCAGCGGAGGTTGTTTCCTGCGGGGGAACAGGGCATCATTCAGGGCTTAATTACCCGTTTGCGGCGGAACGTCTTTTTAGTGTACCATTTTCCAAGATGTATGATTCTTCACTATTCACTCACGCTGTCTTATGTTGAGTTTAGACATATTGCTATGGTGTTGTTGTGTCACATGCTGAGTACTGCGAGTGGTGGGTTGCGAGATGCTGACTGCGGAGGCTCGCCTAACTCTACCGCGTACCAGGGTCATCCCTGCAACAATTTCTCCCTCAGTTTTGCGATCGCGCGTCGGCAGCTCTCATTGCACATTCACGAAAACCACAATGGCGCCCGCGAAGACGATCCCACACAAGTCCGGTGGTCACCAGCGCTACGCACTCGAGAAGGCGAAAGATCCTGCGCGATTCCAGTCCGAACTTGCGGGCTCAGACGACGATGCAAATGCAGGCGCACTGCAGCCGGTGAAGGAACCACAAGACGATGATTTTGAAGGGTTCGGCTCCGAGGAGGAAGTTGGAGACAATGAAGCCCGGGACGAAGAAAGCGATGAAGAGAGAATAGACATCCAGACGGAGAAGAAGCAGGAAAAGCCTGTCTTGCCGAAGGATGCTGAGGAAGAAGAGCTGGAGCGCATGATCTTTGGCGACTCTGAGGGCTTCCGTCAGGGTCTGGAGAACTTCTCGCTCGACCCGACCGCAAACGCATACGGCGACTCATCGGACGAATCGGGAGCAGAAGAGGCCGACCTCGACGCTGTGGCAGACCAGGACCTCTTCTTCTTCGATGCTGGCCCAGTCGCTGCGCCTGCGGGATCCGTTGCTGCAAAGGCAGAAGAATCAGACGAGGACGATGGCAAGCCCGCCTGGGAAGACAGCGACGACGAGAGGCTCGTAGTCAGTTTGGCCTCGGTGCCGCAACTGAGGAAGCTGCGAGAGACGGCAGATGACGACATGGTCAACGGCAAGGAATATGCGCGGCGATTACGGAAGCAGTACCAGAGGCTATACCCTACGCCAAAGTGGGCGATACATGCGACAGGCAAGGCCAACAAGAAGCGCCGACGGGACATGGATGACGACGAGAGTGGCGATGAGTCTGCGAGCGACATGGACGTGGACGAAGAGGGCCTGTCCACGCAGCCACTGGCTAGGCTACTCAAGGATGCGGATATCCTGTCACAAACCTCACGAAGCGTGGCCAAGCGGAGGAAGGTGCAAGCAGGCACCATCGACATCCAGCGACTGAAAGACGTCGCTAAGGCTGGCCCGGTGAGTACCGCGATGCTATCGGGAATGACCCTCTTACTGACTGATGCTCTAGTCTGCCATCACCTCCCTCTCCTTCCATCCCGCGTACCCGCTGCTCCTCTCCTCCGGTCCTAGCTCAACACTATACCTTCACCACGTCAATCCTAACCCGCCGAACCCGAACCCTCTCCTCACATCTCTGCACATCAAAAAGACTCCTCTCGTCACAACCGCGTTCCATCCTTCACCTTCGGACTCGCGCATCTTCCTCAGCGCGCGACGACGCTACTTCCACGTCTGGAACATTGCGACTGGCCGAGTGGAGAAGGTGTCGCGTGTATACGGTCACCAGCACGAACAACGGACAATGGAGAATTTCTCCCTCTCACCGAACGGCAAACACATGGCTCTTCGGGGTTCCTCGAGAAAGGGTGGCGGTGTGATCAACATTCTGGATGCAAGGACACTGCAGTGGGCGACACAGGTGCGCGTCGAGTCAAGAGGTGGTGTTGCTGACTTCGCATGGTGGGGTGACGGCACTGGTATGAGTATTGCGGGCAAGAATGGAGAGATAACGGAGTGGAGCGTTGAAGGAGGCGTCATAGGACGGTGGAACGACGAGGGTGCTGTTGGTACTACAGTCATTGCCCTTGGTGGTAAAAGCGGACGTGAAAGCTGGATAGGTGGCGATCGATGGGTGGCCATTGGCAGCTCAAGTGGCGTTGTCAACGTCTACGACCGGCGAGCATGGAGCGAGAACGACCCTTCAGTCAAGGGCGCTAAAGACGATTCGAACGGCGGCATCCCTAAGGCACCGAAGCCGGTACGCGACCTGCAGAACCTGACGACGCCGATTTCGCATCTCACATTCACCGCGGACGGTCAAGTACTTGCCATGGCGAGTCAGTGGAAAAATAACGCGATGAGGCTGGTGCACCTTCCATCGGCTACAGTGTTCAAGAATTGGCCTACCGAGAAGACACCGCTTGGCAGAATCACAGCAGTCGCATGGGGAAGGCCGAGCGAAGAGGAGGAGAGAGAAGGTAGCCTCGCACAGCTGGCAGTCGCCAACGAAGCTGGACATATCAGAATGTGGGAGATAAGAGCTTAATTTTGGAAGCGTCGATGTTCGAGGACGCCAATCACTAGAGTTTTCAGACCTTAGTGACTGAGAGGATTGGCCGAAAGTACTGCACATATCGCACCCGATCACCTTAACATGTGTTCGACAAAGCAGCGCAAATGATTGCTTCACCCCTTCATCACAGTGATGAGTAAGCCGCGTCAACTACGAGGGATCAGTCAAGCGCAGGTTCTTACATGCTGGATCGCAACTGCTGCAAACTCCCAAGCCGAGGCTGGTCAACAAATATTCATCTCGCTTTCCAACCTTTCTGCAAACATGTCGCGTCGCCCTCACTCTATTCATCGATCCATCGTCTATGCTTACTCTGTGTTCACCACAATCATGGCAGGTACACTCCCCACGCACCCGGTCTTATACACCCACCTCGTACGACTATCCTCCATCACCACAACAGCACTTTTGGATACCTCTTGCACCACAATCATTGCACAACAGCCTATCAGCAACATCTTCGCAAGTGCATCATAGCAACAACATTTCCTCTCTCATCATGGGCAAGAACAAGATCCGCAGCAAGGACAAGTCAAGGAAAGACAAGACTTCCATCAGCGATACCACTGGCTCAAGCACCCCCTCGACATGGACATCTGCTCACGGGGCCGTCATAACCAGATCCACTAGCAATACATCTGATCGCCGGCAGTTACCATCAGAACCCCCTGAGAAAACGCTCTGTGTTGCTACCATCACCTCGCTCAAAGACACGACTACATCCAAGTCTTCCTCCGCGTCATCGCCCACTCCTCCGATAACACGCGGAAAGGGCACAAAAGACAAACGAGACTCGGTCATCTCAAGCACATGGGAAGGTCCAAAGCAGCAGTCCGAACCTAAAGCTACCACCGCAGCCCGACCTCGATGGGGCTTCAGGCCTCGCAACTGGTGGCCATGTCGCATCATACGCCGGATATACCGCTTCTTCGTCGCCCTGACCCGGATACGCTGGACCGACAAACAAACGTCCAAGGACCTCATATTGACACTGACCTTCATCGGTATAGTCGTGGCCGGTGGCTACGTCGCCCTGGACATACTGCTCAAAGCGATACCCGGTGTCTCGGCTCAAGCCGTAGATGGCAACTGCAGTATTGTCTATGTCACTGTCCCCGGGCCGATAATTACCATCTCGCTCGTTGGTGCGTCTCCAACCAATCCGGCGAAAGGCACGTACTACTTTTCTGTTGTGAATAGTACGACGGAGTGGTTGGACAGTATTGCGCCGCCTAGTCGGTTCAGTACGTTGCCTACCAGGACGGCGGATGTTACGCCGATTATTTCGTCGGTGGGGCTGACGAGTATACCTTCTTCTGGTGCTGCTGTTGTGTCTTCAATGTTGGGGCCGACTACTTCGGCGCTGTCTTTGTCGGATCCTTTGGTCTCGTCGTCTGTGAGTTCACCTTCATCGGGTCCAACATCGTCTGAGACATCGAGCTTACCTCGGCCTATCAATCAACCACAGAGACCTTATCCGTCGTATCCTGCTTCAACGAGCCCTGTCACCATCAGTAGCGGGTTGTCTACTTCCGTTTCCACGCTATCCACGATTCTGTCGCCGTCTACGATCTCTACGCTTTCGAATGCAATCACCTCATCAGTCGACTTATTAAGCACTCTCCCGGGTCTGAGCTCCAGTATACTCCCAAGCACGCCTGGCGGACCATCTTCGGCGCTTCCAACCGGTTCGAATGTACCGACGACTTCTAGTGCACCTACAACGTCAAGTCCATCCGGTGACTCGGCTACTCTGAGTCGCGTTACATCAACAACTACTGGGGGCTCTTTCGTTTTCCCATCCACGCAGAGCGATGGCTTCATTGTGTCTCTACCTGGTCCCACTTCGGGGCTGACTCTTTCCGCCGACATATCGTCAAGTACCTCCATGAGCCTGTTGAGCAGTATCGGCAGTTATGCGACACCCTCATCATCGGGTCTTACACGATCGCTATCTACATCTACTTCCCTTTCACCGAGTAGCTTGGCTCCATCTACTCTTCCCACCAGTGTGGGTAGCTCCTCCGTTGTGCCATCGATAGGTTCCACTTCGTCGCCGTCCCTCACGTCCTCAACTGGGAGTCCTATCTCGGCACCGACAACTTTATCGAGTCTGACAATGTCATCCACTCAGAGCTTTACATCCAGCCCTACACCGTCGTCGAGTCTGCCGAATGAGCCCTTGACCAGTATACTCAGCCCAAGTACCTCCACCGGCTTTGCCACATTGTTTCCCATCACAAACTCGTCGTCGACGCTGAGCTTCAATTTGACGTCTACGTCTTCCACGCTGTTGGCTTCGAGCACCATGACGAGCTCTTCAGTTGGATCCAGCTCTTTGGCCGATAGCTCTACGTCGTCTGGTAGTAGCATAAGCCTTCCGTTCGCTATTACCTCGTCCAGGCCACTATCGAGCTCTGTGCTAGTTTCGCAAAGCACGTTGACTTCGAGTCCGAGCGCCACCACCTCGTCTGGGTTACTATCGAGTTCTGTGCCACTTTCGCAAAGCACTTCGGCTTCTATTCCGACCGCCACCAGTGTGTCCAGGTCACCGTCAAGCTCTGTTTTCATTTCGCAAAGCACCTTGACTTCCAGTCCGACCGCCAGCACCGCGTCCAGCTCACTATCAAGCTCTATCCCAGTTTCGCAAAGCACTCTGACTTCTACATTGACGCTGACGACAACTACCCCCCCACAGGCGACGTCGTCTGCCCCTCCAGGCTTCAGCGCCACGTCTTTGTTTAGCGCTCGGGCTATGACGAAGGTGATATCATATGGGGATGTCGCAATTAGCTTCGTCTTCCCGTCACCCAACATCTCAACGACCGTGTCGTACTGGACTGGGATATACCCCACGGTGACTGGGCCAGAGCCATCAGATCTGCAAACCATACCTTTGACGACACGGACTGAGCGCCAGACACCGATCTCTGCTCTGCCATCCTTTGAGATCTTCTCATCCAGATCCAGACGTTTCAAGACGGTAGTGACGACAGTATTCGAAGACGAGGATGAAGGTACGACATCACTAGGGAAGCGGCAGGATATTCCAATCACTGTTGTCGTGCCCACCCCAACGCTAGAGACAGCGATACTTGCGACAACGACCGTGGCTATTCCCGATGCACCAGGGCCTTCATCGTGCGGCGAGTCGGGCAACTTCACGCTGACGTTCGATGACACGGTCACCGGCGATGATGACAACACTATACTGCTCGTCGCCAGCGGCATGAAGAACCCTTACCATCACCTCTTCTACGGCAACGGATACACATACGTACCCGACATGTGGGAACCATACCCCGCGATCTCTCAACCCAACATCGCCATGTTCCTGCCTCTGACCGGGCGACTCCTTCCCAACACGCCCTTCGCAGGCACGATGCTTCCTGGCGAACTCGGCGCCGGACCACGAGCTTCAGTCAACGCCTACTGGTTCAACGCGTACTCCGCACACTTCGGCTGTGCTCTCAACGGTCTCACACCCTGTACACTGCGCATTTCGGGCTATCGCTACGACACCACTCTACAACAAGAAGTGCTCGTCGCAGAACAAAACGCGACTATTCCGGCATGCTGGGGCTACATCAACTGCCGCCTCACTCAGATCTTCTTCAACGACGACTTCCGCGCGCTGTCTGGAATCCAGTTCAATGCCTACACATACAACCTGGGCATACCGCAGGTGCACATGATGGATGATCTGCAGATGGAATGGTACAACAACACCTGTTCGGCGGGTATACTACGGATAGGACACAGCTAGTGTGGATCTAGGGTGTGGCGAGGTTGAAGTCATTTCATCGGGTATACAATATGTTGTTAGAGATGGCGATGATAAGATTAGCATAGTGTATCTTGGTGAACAGTATATCTAGACGAGAGATGAATACAGTTAGACTCCATTGAATGCGCCACTCTTCCTGCAGATGACCGTGATGAAGCCTCAGGTGACGGCTAGACCGTCGCGCTGCAATGAGGCGTGAGCTCTCCATCCGCGTCGATTGGCCGTCCACGGCAATCGTCGTCCGAGATGTGTTCCAAGGTGTTTCAGACGGCAGGTGCCATGTGAGCTGGAGGGCATCCGAAGACGCGTCGGCAGCCAGCCACGGAAGGAACGACGCGTAGCGTGGGTGCAAGCTCTCCACGGCGACTTCCCTCGTCGACGTCCAGGGTCCTGTTATGGCGTCACGCGGCGCCGTCGGATTTCCATGTCACGCGCGAACCGCTGAGGCTGCAGCTCCACGCGGTGCGCGCATATCGATATAGCCGGCGTATCATTCTCCAGCATAGCTTTGAATTTCCTTTTTCTTCCTTCTCCAAACCTCGCTGCAGCTCTCATTCGTCTTCCCGTCTTCGATTGTCGCATGTCCTGTTCCCGCCTCAAGCGACGTGCCGCATCTGCCTTTACCGCGTAGATACTAGCGTTTGCGCGGCAAGCTTGACCTCTTCACGGGTGCAGGTGATAGCAGTCTCTTTCTCGGCTTTCGCTGCTCAGAGGGAAATTCTCTCACTGCTCCGCCGAAGGTAGACCGCCGACCCAGGCCCGAGGCCCGCTACCACGATTTGCAGAGCTATGGCTACCTTTGCGCCGACCAATTTTCCCTCAGACGTCCGAGACAAGCCACCCCACCAAGAGCCCCCACCACAGCATCTCCAACACCACGGACCCTTCTCCCATCAGCTCAACCCGCCCACCGCGCCTCAGTCTCAGTCGTCGAACCCCCCGCCGCAGATAGCCAGACGTGCCTCGCGCGACCTCCGGCCCCAGCACTCCAACGGCGCAATGGCGGGCGCGAATGGCCATGGGCCCATGGCAGTGCCGGGCGGGCGCGCCAACGGCCACGAGCATAGGGCAAACTTGCGCGAGATGGGCTTTGCCGGCCCGCGCAGCCCCCCAAACAACAAGAACACCTCACACGTCCCCTGCAAGTTCTACCGGCAAGGCGCATGTCAGGCTGGCAAGGCGTGTCCGTTCCTGCACTCCGACGAGCCGCTGACGGAGCGGGCGCCCTGCAAGTACTTCACTAAGGTAAGACATGTGCGGGAGAAGGTGAATCATCGCTAACCATGTACCCAGGGAAACTGCAAGTTCGGCCAGAAATGCGCCCTCGCCCACATCCTCCCCAACGGCCATGTCGTGAACCGCGGAAACGCCGGTAATCACTTCAGCCGCATGAACATTCCCCACCACCAGGAGATGCCCATGAATAGCTCGCTGCTTACCATGCAGGCGCACATGGGTGGTATGCAGCCAGGGTACCCGTATGCCATGCCCGACGAGTACGCGAACCAGAAGAACCAGTACGACATGATTCCGACCATCGACACCACCTTCTCTTCCCACCCAGGCTCCAACTATGGCTCACCGCCAAACGAGAACGGCCGACTCCCGATATCACCGACACAGAAGGGCTTGAGCGTGATGGATGTAGGACTTCCTGCGTCTTTTGATAGCCAGGGTGTTTCGACCATGGCGCGATACGGCCCCATTGCCTCTTCAGTACCCGCCAAGTTCCTCGCGAACTCCCCGCCGTCCTCGTACCAAGCCGATTCGCCCGCGCTACGAAACCTACACGACTCTGCGTTTGGAGATGGTCTGCGGAGGGGCATTGCAGGACTTGGGTCGTCTCCACCAGAGTCGGTAGAGCAGCCAGTTGGACGGAGGATGCTGCATTCTGAGCTCGCCGCGAACCGCTCCCGGGGTATCATGTCGTCGAGTGTAGGCGCGCGACCGACGTACAAGGACGAGGAATGGGATGAGACGGACATGATTGGCAAATTCGAGGAGGACCTGCTGCCCAATTCATTGAGCGATCTTCTGACACCACAGGAGAAGATGCGCCGCTTCTCGCGCGACCAGGGCGAGAGCGACAACCGCACTTCACAGTCTAGGTTCGGAGTCTCGCCAACAGCGTCAGACCTCAAGTACGGATCGCCATCAGCAGCCACAGCTTCTCCCTCGCGATTCCAGTCCATGTGGGCCAAGCCTCGAGGACCGACTTACGATGGAGGATTCGAATCAGGCTCACTACCCGGTCAGTCAGCCTTCGGACACGTCGGCTCACCCCTCCGCAACTCAAGCCTCCACCCGGGAGCCAGCCCTTCGCTACGCGCCATGAACCGACCCACCACAGGCGACATGAGTCCATACCTCGCATCACCTCCCCGCCAAGCTTCCATGAGCATGATCAGCCAGCAACTCTCGCGCACCCGCATATCAGCCCGGGACGAAAGCGGCATCACCAGCAACCCCGTGCACCCCGGCATCAACCGCGTCACCTCTGCATCCAGCATTGGCAGCTCCAGCGGCCGTCTCGGCATCGATCGCGCTGTAAGCAGCAGCAGTATCAACCGCGAGAGGATCGAGGAAGAGCAGGGTTTGTTTAGCATGGAAGAGGAGGATGATCTGAACAAAAGCAGGGACGGCGCTTCGACTACTTCTAGCAACAGCAACAAGCGTCTGAGTGGTCTGTCATGGGGTAGTGGTGGCAAGGGTAGCCCGAACCTGGCTCCTGTTGGCGGTCATCGGACTGCTGGTAGTTCTGCGCTCGGCAAGGAGACGGGTGCGGGTGCTTGGGGTGGGAATGCTTGAGTTGATGGATGAAATCACGACGACGCACAACCCCCGCAAGAAAGTAGCTGGACGCCCAGAGCCAGTCCAGTACCAGCAGACACCCACCCCACTCCACGACCGTTATCTCTACGACATCCTTCCCCTACATCACTCCCAAAAGAAACCAGGTTGGAAAATTCTCAGCGTTCCCGGCGCAACTTGCATACAGGGTCCTATTCCTCCCACAACATGGACCCTAATCCTTCCCATCTTTCAAACGGCATATACATAAAAGTCTCTTAGCTTCGGTTTGACATGATCAACCAAGGGCGTACACAGCACATTACGGCACGGCACGGGCATGTGTCTTTTCCTCCAATTTTCTATTATTTCCTTTCTTTCTTTTTCTTTACAACTGGGGGTTCGTGCGTTCGTGCGTTAGTACGTTATGATTTACTTCTTTCTCACATGAATGGTGCGTCATGGGCAATGGAGTTTCACATGAATACAGTGGCTAGTACCGATCTTCTTATAGCGGCTAGTCTTCCATGCTGTACGGGGATAATGTAGCGGATGCGATGAAAGGTTACTGGAAACGAGTATTTACGATGGCATATGAATGAGCATGGATGGGCGGATGAAATGGGTGGATAGGTAGCTTTAGCTGGAATGTATATATACATATTCTTGATCACCGGTAATTAGGTCCTTGTGCACGCAAAGCTTGTCTGGGCGAATCTTTCGAGTTGATATCATGATCTGGGTTTGCATGTGTAGAACTTGGTGACGAGTGGTTGGAATAAAGTTCTTCATCGACAGACGGAAGCTTTCCCGTCCATAGTGCAGGAGAGGAGCCTGGAAAATGGGGCGTAGGCAACATTCGCTCGGGACTAGGCGACCCGAAAGTGAACATATCGGGCGCGATACCCCCAGTGTCAGTCGCGGAACGGCGTGTTCCATCAGGCGCAGGTAGAGCCGACTCTTGCGTTGGAGCTGTACCGTCTCTGATGGCTTGGACCGCAGCCGCCCAATCATCGTTGTCATTAGACGGTTCACGCGGCTGTGCAAGTGTCTCTGGAGATGGCGACCGGTAGTCGCTATCCATCCAACGGTCTTCTGAACCAGGCTGTAGGGGTATATCCCGCAGCTCTCCTACGGAGCTGGTAGGGGGCTTCTGCTGCCCTTGTGCAGGATGTAGTAAAAGTGAGAGACTTTGAGTATCTTCACAGCCGTTCTGGGAGTGTTGCGGCGCCTGTGGTTGCAGCTGCCCAGTGGCAGCCTGGAACCAGGCGCGGTTTAGCTCTTCCCCTGAGAGGTGTGCGTTGCTCGTCCTAAAGTCCTGCTTGGCTTTTTCGAGGAAATCAATGTACGGCTTGCTACTACTAGTACTACCGCTGTCCGTAAGAGTTGGGGTCCTTACTTCTGACGGTAGTGACTGCTCTCTAGGTTGCTGTTGCTTCCTTAGTCGCTCTTGCTCGTTCCGGTGCTCGATCTGGTGCTCGTTCCGGTGCTCGTTCCCTAAGCTCATCCTTGCACGGTTCACCTCCTCAAGTCGGGCCAGTTGTTTGTGGTACTCTTGTAGCTTTTGGGCCTGCGTCAGTGCTGACTTGGCGGGAGTCTTGCCCTCTGCTCTTGGTTTCACCGACGACGGCGACGGCATCGCCGCCACGGCTTTATCAACGCGCTGCTGCATTCTCTGCCGTTGCTCCATCTGTTGTGTTCCATGAGGCATCCTTTGCTGCTCTTTTGTTCGTTCTATGTCTTCACTCCGTTCATTTTCCTGTTGCTGCTCGTAAGGTGCCTTCTGCTGTTGCTGCATCTGCTGAACGAGATTCGTGTTTGGCGGCTGTGCCGTCTGTTGTGGTTGTGCAATCCGTCGAGCCTGCCTCATCAACTTCGTTTTGGCTTGGTCTTCCATTAGGAGTTTGAATGCTCTTTGTTGCTGTTGCGGGTCCATATCGCCGTAAGCTATAGGCCTCGATTCCGACGCGGCGGGGCTATCTACATAATTGAGCTCGCTATCAAGAACGCCAGCACGATCATCGCCGGCGTTGCTGCGTTCTTTTAAAAAGCTGTCGAAGTCATTGTTGCCCAGAATCAAAGGGTCGTCCCAAGAGTTCGGAACACCGTCGTTCCAATAGTCCGGAACAGCATTATTACCGTCGGGCTGTTGCTATATCAGCATACAAGTAGAGACAAAGCTACTAAAGGCTACTTACATGGTCATTCGCTGAAATGCTGAAAAGAGGAGCACGCTGGTCTTCCTCAAAGCTGTCTTGCACGGGTATGTACGGGCTGCCTCGCCAGTAAGGTGACCGTAGCGGGCCCTCAAGGTTATTCTTGGACTGAGCCAATGGGTTTGCGTGCCCGATAGTTGTATTTGTATACGTCTCTGATGGGGCTCTTTCGTAGTCCTGGACATAAGGCATGTCGGCCTCTACATTTGCTTGGGCTTGACCGTATGATACACCTGCGTCGGGTGATATCGCTTCTACTTGTAGTCCTGCTATGGCATCAGAATCCAAGCGTTCGCCTGAGAGGTCTTTTGAGGCGGACTGATGCGACGTGCCAATCTGGGCACCCGTGTTCACTGCTGCCGGTTTGTTAAGGGCCCCTCTTCTGTAGAGCATTTCGGCATGCTGACGAAAGCGAAAGAAGAGAGGGTGGATGCCTTGTTGCAGGAGTTGTAGCTTTATCTGTTCGGGCCAACTATGGACATCACTCTGAAACTTCTCTCGGACTTCGGGCTTGGCTGTATCCATCATCTTCTTCGCAAACTGGTTGATGACCAATTGGTCTTGACGGTTTTGCTGAGGCATCGGGGCCTCCTGCGTGTTCGGCGGAATCGGAGTTCCCTCACCCTCACCACTTTGCGGCTGTCCCGACACCAAGTCCTGATAATGCAGGACTTGTAGTAATTTAAGCTTTTCCAGATCCACTCCGGGAGCAAGGCTGGGGTTGTGCTGCACCCAAGCCTTGAGGTCACTCCAGGACCTGACATCGGGCGTCAAAATCTGCATTATCTGCATGTTCAACACATTAGGAGGGAACTGGACTTGATCTATCGTAAGTATAAGCCCCGGGTGCGTCCGTAATAGTCTCTTAGCAGCAGCAATCCTGTCAGTTTTCGGAGGGTGTATACCCGAACCTTGCGAACTGTGCTGTTGCTGTCCAATCTCCTTTACAGCATGAGTGGTGCGTCGTACCTTTGCAGGAATGAGAAGTATTTTCGACTGGCCATGGTGTTTTTTAGTGTGCGCATTGAGTGCACTCATGTTTCCAAAACCAATGCGGTGATATTGGCAGGACACTGTCTCACAATATACGCGTTGGACATGGGTGGTCTCATGCTCGAGCCGGAGTTGCGCAGTCGCAAAGCCCAACGATAGCCTCTCACAGTGTGGGAAGCGGCATCGAAAAGCGGTGGAAGCATACGATTCCTGGAACGCCCGAAGCGTGGTTGGCGCAATGCCCTGGACGTCTTGTTGCGCCAAGAGATACACGACGGCGCTCTCGTATGTGTGGGCAAGTCTGCTGAAAAGCGTTCTGTCCTTGTTGATGACGTAGGTCTCGATATCTGGAAAGGTTTGTGAGCTCATGGATGTGGCTAAATCGAAGTGACGGATTCCACTGTGAACTTACCTGAACTATTTCCGCCTTCAAGCTCGCTGGCCATATGTCTGAGACCCATCACATCTGCCATTAAGCCGTAGATCGGTGTGTTCAAAAAGAGCTTGAGCCGTTCTTCTGCGTGGGAGGTGTTTACCAAGTCGGGCAACACATCCTGGATTGTAGCAAGTCCGAGTGCATGCAGATAGGTTTCGTGTGTTCCGTGCAGCCGGTCCAGTTGACGTTGGAGGGCTTGGCCTGGGTGGAGATCTCTTCCAGAAGCATATTGCAGGCAGTGTTCGATCCAAAACTCTATCGCATATGGTAAGAGCCTGTAGTTGCCACTCGCGATGATAGCAAGATAATCTGTGGAGTTGCTTCCCAAGCGTACGAGTTCCAGGCCGCGAATGATGACAATGGCGCATGCGCACGATATGTCTAGTGCAACATCAATTGCTGGAACGATTTGTGGTATTTGAGCCTTCAGGAAATATCTAATCGATCGTTAGCGGCCATCAATTTAGCTGGGGGGATGTGCGTACTCCTTCACCGAGAAGTGGACTGGTACTATCGTTGAATCAGGTAATTCTTCGATAAGCGGTTTGCAGTGGTCAAGAATAGAAGCGACAGGGATGCTTCGCATCTGAGAGCTCATGTCGTCTGGAAACATAGACAGCGCCTGCAGTAGCTCTGATTTATGCAAAGGCCTTCGTGAGAAGCATATCCAGCTCATGATGCGCGGCACGCCTCCGTAGCTTTGGGCACCTGGGGCGCTGCAGAGACGAGTTACGATCTGTGCGTAAAGGGCTTCCAGATCAGAGGGAAGATTGTCGACGATAGTACGCAGTTCCTCAGGGCTATACACCGTATCGAGTGATTCCAGCACGAGGCTCACCCACAAAAACATACCTGTGTGAATGTTAGAAAACTTGTTGTCGTTCCACAGACCGAGCAGGACGTACCCTGAGACTTCTCAAGAAGAGTTTTCTTCACATGGGCCATGATCGAGGAATCTGGGTCGAGCTCTTCGAAATGCTCAGGAAGATCAGAAAGCTTATCATTGACAAAACTGGCAATCGCACGAGTGACTGCAAGACCTTCATCGACATTGCTGAGAGAGATCATCGTTGACAATTTGTCCTTCTTGCGCCGCGAGGTGGCCATGGTATCTCGGCTCGCGACCATGATCTTGCAGACATGGGAAGACTGGTCGGTCGAAATCATCTGCGAAAGATCATTGAGAAGCTCCTTCTGATCCCGTGAAGTCCATTCGTCAATACCGTCTACGATAAGCCGCACGGATCCCAAACCTCGGAGAAGTTCAGGGAGAAGTGTCAACAGCGCTTTCTTCGTAGGTTCAGGATTCGACTTAAAGTAGACGTCGTGGACGTAGATGGCGAGATCCTGATGTTTTTGGATGACCTGCGATATGAGAGATCGCAGCAGACGGCTCGGACCATCGGAGCGGCTTCCGAGAAAACTGCAGAAGTAGTAGAATACATGAACGCCGTTTGTCTCGGTGTGTTGTACAAGGGCAGAGCATATCATGGACTTCCCTTTGAGCAGGTCAGCAAATGACTAGCCGCAGCGGCAGCAATTGGACATACCAGCTCCTGGTTTACCGCAAAGCCACACAAGGGGATTCTTTGCGCTATCTCCTAGCCATAACTCAGTTGCTTTGTGCTGTATGAACCAATCGCAGCTGTGTGGCAAGTAATCTCGGAGGTGGCGGTCAAGCAAGTCGGCTGGGAGGGTATCAGTCGTTCCTAGCCAGGCTAAGACTTTTCGAATCTTGACCTAGAAGTATAGCACAGAGTCAGCGCATGTCTCAAACACAGAGTGTACTAGTGTATACTGACAGCAGTCCACTCGCGCTCTTGTTGCTCCCAACTCTCGTCATCGGCTTTGCTACGTCGAATGGATTCAGCGATATCCGCTGCAGCAGCTTCCTTGTCGGCTAGCTCGGTGTGATACGCCAGGTTCTTCAGTATCCCATTAAATCGAGATTCAAAGCCAGCCCACATAGAACTGAAGAATATGGACCATGCTATAGCTGATTAGAACGACATAACGTCAGGCTGCTGGTGTACTTACATTTCCTTTTCACAAACTTGTAAGCTCGACGATGAAACTCTACAATGTCAGAGTATACTAGAGCTAGCACATTTTGAAAGTTGTGATCGTTGACAAGTGCATCGCCAAGACGATCCAGGCGAGAGACAATGTCTCCAATCTTGCCGTAGGCTTCTATCAACTTCTCGAACGCACTGATGGAATCGGCCGTGATCTGTCTTCACAGTAAGTACAGGATGACTGGGTAGGCGTGCGACTTGCCATAAGCATAAGCTTTACCGGTGCCCAGATCCATGGCAGGAAAGGCGTCCCATTGCAGAGCACTTCGACCACCTTGGAGTAATGCTCCATTCCCCGAAGGAAATTGTCCAGCCGGGCCATGCACCTTTGCGTTCGGCGAGCGCGAAGCTGGCGCTCAATCCGTATCGCCTCATCTCGGACATCCTTGAGCTGCGTGTTGTGGAATAGTTGCTTGTCGTCTGGGGCGACGGTGGATGCAAACCGCTCGAACGCGTCTTGAAGCGTGACGCGGGCTTGGGCGGAAGGGGCCGCCGCCATTGTACCGAGGTCGGGCCGTGCGCACGTGTGGCACGTCACCGAGGCGCGATGGAATCTCGGGCAGAAGACGTTTCGACCACAACACTCGGTCACTTTATGGACACAATGATGGTACTGTGGACAGTGGGGAGATGAAGAGCAGCTTGTAGACGGCACGCTCAAGGTTGACAGCACATGCGCACGAGTGTACAGCCTCGTAGGCAGACACGCTCAGCCCCAGTGGCTTGCAATAGCTCGCCGTATCCAATGGATGCACTCAAGCTCTCTAAGTTCAATCATTCAACATGGTGATGTGCGAGACTCCGTCTTTCGCGTCTTCAGGCGTCTTACAGTATGCTCACATGCCTTCCCGAGATCGTTGTTGATGAATTCGCTGCTCCAGCCACAAAGCGACGGCGATTGAATACCCCTCATGCGGAGAGCGTCACACTCGCATCTGATCACGAAGTCTCGGCGCAGTCATCACCACCGTCTGCCAGCGCGACCACAGAAGAGTTAGGAGAAGACACCTTAGTATGCTATGGCATGGTCAGTCGCGCCTTGCTCACCTTATTGGTCTATGCTTACCTTGCTCAGATATCAGATTTAAAAGCACACAGTCTCCTCCATCATGCCACCTCCCTTACCCCTACCCCAGACGCGATCCGATTTGAACCTCCTCGTACAATATTCCGCGATAGTGCCAATACGCCGGTCGCGCGGCTGGACGACTATGGGGGCGAGCTGCTACTGCGGCTGGCAGCCGACGACGAGCTCGTATTGCAACTTTCAATCTTTTCGGCGCCCATCGCACCCCCGACGGAACGGCGGACACTCAAGGGTACATTTCAGTACGTGGGGGCTACGATATATGGTCCCAAACGCCGCTCCGGTGATGTGGGCGATTTCTTGAATCAAGCCGGTTGCTACTTGGATGACCCTGTTGGCTGTGACCGCAACGTCCCGTATATGAACCCTCAATGTCTGTTTACTCTTCACGAAGCGCCACCAATGACGTTCGATTTATTGCAGTCTCACGAATCACACATCGACAGCTTTTCACGAGCCTCTCTAAATGTTTTGTTCCAGTTCGAAACTACTGATGAGTTCGAGTTATCGGCTAGCCCGAGAGCTCTAAGGACCGAGTTGAAAGAGTACGTAGCCCTCCGTGAAAGGGTCACATCAGCTGACTTGGAATCCAAGGCATCAGAAACAAGCCCTGACTTTCTTCCTGCGGCGCGAACGAGGTATGCATCCAAACAAAGATGGTGTTGGTATATGGCTGCGGAAGACAAGCGCGGGACAATCTACGTGCGTATGCCCGAGCTATTATTTCACGTTTCAATGCTGAACCTTGGTGTGCTTCAGTTTTGTGAACGCTGTGACTGATGAAGTCCAATCTGCCCCTGGCCCGGTATGGAGTGGCGGATTGCTCGCCGATGAGATGGGCCTTGGGAAGACGCTGAGCATGATCGCTTTGATCGCTTCTGACCAAGATCGCCGGTCAGACAACGATCCACCCACAGGCTACTCCGCTTCCGAGACTTGCATAGCATCGACTCTGATAGTGGTGCCACTGAGCTGTAGGAGTGCACACATTCTACGACTTCACACATGCTGACGCCATCTGCAGTGTTCAGTGTCTGGGAATCGCAGCTACAGAGGTTCGTCGTCGCAAACGATGCGAGGTACGCTTATTGACCGTCATCAGCCACGTCCATCCCGGCAAATTAACATGGTGCATGCACCACGGGAACCGAAGGTTCAAGCTGAAGAACCACAAAAGACCGCCCGGTAGGTTGTATTTACGTACACACCACAGATAATGCGTCGACTGACGAGCCGCTGTATCACTAGAGATTGTTTTTACTACCTACCAGACTCTCGAGGGGGCAAATCGCAGGAGCGTTCGGAGCAACGACTCTATATTCTCGCACCACTGGAGACGAGTCATACTCGACGAGGGTCAGCACAAAGAGCTTCCCACATCTTGTGCCTCTATACTGACTTTGCCCCTTTTCAGCACATACGATACGCAATCACAAGACCTCTACTGCGCACGCAATGGCCGCACTCCGCGCGACTTCCAGATGGGCAGTCTCAGGTACCCCAATCCAGAACAGCCTGCTCGACTTCCACGGTCTCTTCAAGTTCCTTCATTTCGCACCATACGACGATCCAAAAGTGTTTGATGATGATATCTCGAGCATATGGCGAAGAAAGTCCATCGAAGAGGCCGGCGAGACGTTCAAGAAATTGCTGTCGTGCATGATGATCCGCCGAACGAAGGCTATCCTGGATTTGCCCAGCAAAGACGACCGTTTGGTGCGTGTGCCATTCAATCACGAGGAAGAAAGACATTATCGCCAAATAGAACAACCGGTCATGGATATGCTAGACCGCAACACTGGAGACGACAGCCAAACCCAGGTCCCTTGGATGACTGCTATACAGCAGATCAACAAGCTGCGTCTTATCTGCAATCTAGGCGTCTTCATTCCTTCGCAATTCGACTGCACCTCGCAACCGGGCAATCTTGATGACAAGACAACCGTGATGAATGCACGCTTCTCAATGGACGGAGGATCCTGCGAACTGTGTCTCCAGCCAGTCGAGACATTAACTTTCGGCCGTGAACTCTGTAATCCTACACAACCACAAGTATACCATTCAGCTTGCAGCAAGTTCTACTGCGCCGAGTGCGCTGCGAGCCTCCAGTATCGATCACCTGAGCCGTGCGCATGTATGGAAAAACCGAAACCGTGTCGACTCCGTCCCTTGGCATCCTTCTTAGCTACTCCCAGTCTTACGCCTACCGACAGCCTTTCTCCCTCATCCATGGATTGGGACTACAGTAACGACATTTCAAGCAAAGTATGGGCGCTCATCTCCCAGATCAAGTCGCGTCCACAGGAAAAGCAGTGAGTTTACCAGCACCTTCGGGCGCTTCACCAACTAACCCTTGGCTAGTGCCGTATTCTCGTCTTGGACGTCCAGTCTCGATATGGTCGAGAGAGCGCTTCGGTGTGATCCAAATCAGGTCATTCAATCCGTCCGAATTGATGGCAAGGTTACGCCAAAGAACCGCAGTATCGCTACACAACGGCTTCGAGATGATCCTGGTATCCGCGTCATACTCATCACCATCGCCTGCGGTGCCTGTGGGTATGTTTACGAAGACAACACCCAGCAACCACGAATACATGCTAACGACTATCTCAGTCTGGACCTAACCGCTGCATCGACAGTCCACCTCCTCGAACCTCAGTGGAACCCGTCTCTTGAAGATCAAGCACTTGCTCGAGTCCATCGCCTAGGGCAGACTCGTCCCGTGACTACTATACGCTATGTCATGGAAGACTCGTTCGAAGAGGTAATCATGCCGCAATGAAATTGGAAATGTGAACTGACACGCGCATCGATAGCACATCCTCGAAGTTCAAGATCGCAAGAAGCTACTCGCCACAACGCTCCTATCCAACGGGTCTTCGCTGGAGGTAAGCAATGCGCGTATAAACACCTTCACGCCAGCATTCAGATACTGACAAGTCGTTCTCAGAACCTGCGACAATTGCTGCACGAAAGGAAAGGTAGTCAACACGCTTAATGGGGCGCAAGAGCATGGAGGCTAAATGCTATATAGTCTTCTTATCATTCGTGCCTCAATCCTAGCTCCTGATAATTGCCATCATTTTCATGCGAGAGTATCATTGTGTTCAGGGTGGTTATGTATCGCGGCAGTCGTGACTGGATCGCCGCCCGCTTTGCTTCAACGCGCACGAGTTCATCATGATACTGATGCGAGCTTCTATGTGAAGCCTTCCCCAGGTACTGTAAGTAACTTCTGTCGTGGCGTATTTGCTCTCTAGCTCGTGATGATAAATGACTCTTGTGGATGCTTCTGCGCCTCCCTCCTCGCAGGCGGCTGGTGTTGATGTAGGTGGCCCGTGCGCATCGCGTCTTGACGCGTCGGCGCGTCATCCTTCTGCCATCGCAGAAAGACTCTGCAAACACTACATCCTCAATCGACAACAACGACCGTACATCACCACCGTAGATGCCTTCCATTACACGCGGCAAAGTACAGTCACGTTTCGTGCATTCCGCGTGCTGCTACATGGCGTAGCGCGTGTTACGCAATCTACGGACCTCCAGACAGCATGTTCAGAAGCTGCGCACGGTAATCGTCGTATGCCTGTCTGCGCGCTTCTTCTTTCTTATCAAACTCCATCTTTTCTTCCCCGCTCAACTTTGCCGAAATCGCGTCGGCGCTTTCGCGCTCCGCATTCTCGCGTTGGTCGGCCTGGCTCAGCTGGCCATAATAGATAGGAGATGTTGCACCAAGACGGCGACGATGGCAGCCACCCAGGTTCTCGTCCAATTCGCCGGTTCCTTGGAGACGAGTCTGCTGCGCGAACGACAAAATTGCAAAGGATCAGCCGCTGCAATTAGCGACGTGGCCTCCAAGTGAAGGGGTGAAGACTATGCCATCATGCCATGGGCGAGGGTTAGTCTTCTCTCCCTTTGCCCCACAGATCGTGCGTGGCATTTCCTAGGTTATCTTGCTGCATGTACCCCGCACACAAGCACGTGACCAGGTCTCCATCCCAGCGCCACTCCGCGCAACCTTGAGAGCAGCTTGATACAACCTGTTCATGCTCAAGACACAATGTCTGGCGATGTTCAATTCGTACTCCCGCGCCGCGATCCGACAACTGAATGATGGTATCAACGGAGGAGAGCTGTGCGTGCCATGTCAAATAGCTCTAGAAGAAGACGAGCGTGCGGGCTTCGCTAGCATTGGTACGTCAGCCTGGCTGAACAACGGCTTCAAAGAATACGAGGAATACCAGCATCTTACCGAGCCTGTTCTTTATTGCGACTGTTGTCGTCATGTCCTTCGCGCTCGAGAGTTACAGAGACGACAAGGAAGAGATCACAGTCCATCGGTTGATGCGCGGAAGTATCCAGGAGATTTCAACGGGCTGACAACGTGTGTGTTCCTACATGATGATGACCTGGATTCGCGGGAGTGTGAGACGGCATTGAACGACTTCAAAGTTCAAAAATCAGAGTACAGTCGAACGGTGAGACATCACTGGGCAGATGTGGGATTGATCAAGAGTTGGCTTGATGACTGCGAAAGAGATCACGGCCATGCCTGCAATAAACACCAGACGACAGTTACTGATACTGGGCCGCTTTTGCTTCTGGATGTTATCGATGATCGTCTCGCGGTTGGGAACTTCAAGGATCGGTATTTCGCCTTGAGTTACGTTTGGGGCGCTTCAAAACAGTACCTGACCCTGATGGAGAATTACGACCAGTTACGCCAGCCTGGAACTCTCTCCAAGCAGCCTTTGACCCAGACCATTAGGGACGCAATGACTTTTGTCAAGAGCCTGGGTGAGCGATACTTATGGGTTGATACGATGGTAGGCAAATGCAGCTTGATGAATTGGATCAACCACTTACGAAAGCCAGTGCATCATCCAAGATGATGCAGCCAACAAAGCAAGCGCCCTCGCTCAGATGTGCGCAATCTACAGTTGCGCCATGGCCACGATAGTGGCTCTAAACGGAGACTCCGCCGACGCCGGCCTACCTGGCATTCCGCCTACGACCCGCAACACCACCGCAACCTTCGTCACCCCTGGACTACACATGGTGGAGCGATCATCCTTGGAGAATGTGTTGGCAAATCACACCTACGATGGTGTAGACGTCGACTGTATCTACAACACGCGCGCCTGGACGTTCCAAGAACGATTACTATCGAATCGGAGCATATACTTCCTTGGTGAACAGGTGTACTTTCACTGCAAGAAGCAGCTTTTGTGCGAAGACAGATACATCAGCGATGACACCAGCTTCTATACCCTGGACAAGATGCGCACCACAAGCGCAGAACTGAAGTCCAAGACTGCTCGAGTCGGCACTTACAGTCCATTGGACGAGTTTCGTTGGTACGAAGAGATCGTCGCAGAGTACACCGCAAAGAAAATGGGATTTCCGGATGACATTCTCAATGCTTTCACTGGTATTCAGACTATGCTAAGCCGTATGTTCGATTGGCCATTTGTCGGCGGCCTTCCGACATCCCTTCTGGATCTTGCATTACTTTGGACTCCTGTCACCACCATCGAGCGGAGGTTGACTGCCTCACAACAGCCAAGCTGGAGTTGGTCGGGCTGGATTGGGCGAGTTCGATACGCAGACCTGGTGCGCCCAGGGCATAGGCCGATAAGCTCATTGTTCAGGCCGCTCGCCAAACATCAGCTCGCCATGCCAGCTACGATTGTGTTCGAGTGTATGAGCGTTCCTCTGAAAGCGTTCGAACTCTCCAAGGCTCCAAAAGGGCTTTTCGACCCATTCCAGAGCACATCTAGCCCCATCACCGAAGACTCATACTACGTCTTTGACAGCAATAAACGTCGCTGCGGCATGCTCATAGGCCTTCCGCAAGAGCATGTGCTTTCCATCGCCAGTAGGGGCCTGAAGCTCCTTGCACTGTCAGCGTGGAAGTCGAACAATAGCCTCATAAAGAACGGGCCAGTCATCTCTCATCTCTCGGATAATGGATATACCTCAGATGAAGAGGTGTACGATCAAGCTTTCCGCGATGCAGAGTGGTGTACTTACAACGTCATGCTCGTTCGCTCAGTCGGCGGCGCGTATGAGAGGGTTGCAGTGGGACAGATGCACGTAGACGCGTGGCATGGAGCGGGTGAGACACGGGGAAGGTTCGCGGTGAATTGATCATATGGCGATACAGTAACAATGCACAGCTATAACTCACAGCATGAACAGCGGCAACATGATACACATCCCTCGAAAAGCTCAAGAAGCGTATATTTTCCCAATGCCTATATGTACTGTTCCATCATTGAGTAGGCACTCCGCGCGTTGTGCAACAGTCATGCGGCATCTCGCCAAACCAGCTCGCTTTTTGAGGTGTTGCCAAAGCCTTCCGCATAACAAAGTCTGCCATCAACAAAGCAGTACCCTGTTCAGTCGGTGGACGCCACCCTCCTAAGAACGGCACCTTCCTCAGATGGATCCTCGAGTATGCCGTGTCGCAGTCTGGTTGCATAGATATGCTAAGCATTATCTGATTTGGCCTCGACGTCTCATGTCCTCCTTTTGATATTAAGCGGGTTGATATCACCGTTGTTTCTCCAGCACGTCGATTTGCGCGAGGATCACATCCTTGCACCATGGGAGCGGATTTTTTGTCATGGCGCTGTACACATTCTTAAGGTACTGCTCTGTTGAGAGCCCGTCGGTGCATATAGCAGGGATCATGCCATGTCTGGCGACGTGTGTAGCGAACAAGAGGCGTGATGTTCGGCCGTTGCCATCTGGGAATGGATGGACGCTGACGTAGTAGAGAGTGTCCCATACACCCTTTATCAGAGGATGTATGTCCTCTTGGTCGTGCGCAGCGAACTTTGACCACCGCTCCAGATTCGCTTCCACTTCGCCTGGATAGGGGAATATGGCCTTTGGGTTCGAGTGAACCTGGACTGGCATGTGGCGGATTAAGCCAGCCTTGAATGGCATTTGCATGCCCCGAAACAGTATCCTTGATATGATCCTTATGTCCTCTAGGAGGTTCTCCGGGGTTGATGCTCGCTCGATATAGGTACTCGATAGTACAGCCTGTAGTGCAACAATGTTGTTGCGCAGTACGAGATACTCTATCTCCTTGGACTCCTCGCCGTTGTCGAGTTTTATCAAGTCGCTCGAGGATGGAAGCCGCAAATTCATCGCGTTGAGCAACGCGCTTCCACCGTCTTTTTGCAATGGTATGGCCGCTTCGACCTTCTTTGCGGTCGCTAACGATAGACTGTTGTGTTCTATGGCGCAGCTTCTCCAAGAAAAATTAGCAAGTACGTTACTACAAAACATTGTAGTATCTTGCATAATCTTTGATGGTGATGTGTCCTCAGCTCTTAGCTGGTAATCTCTTCGCAGCGTAACCAAGTATGCAAGCTCTCGACGCATTTGGTGTTGCGCATCTCTCCAGGGTGCTGCATTTCGTATCTGGTAGACCTTGTCCCATACTGTTCCGGAACGGGCGAGCGTATTCCACTCCGGTCCATATTCAAGAAGACCGTCGAATTGCGCATAATGCTTTCTGAGGAGGGTGTTTCGCGCGCGGATGATTTCTTTCGTCCACTTCATGTTGTTTGCGTTGCTGGTTTTCTGTTTGTGTTGACGTTCTGAAGTTTGGTGCAGGTTAACAGAATCTTTTCGGAGGTTTCGGGTTGCTAGTAGCTGCACTTCTATGGTACTTGCCTCTACTTCCATGGTACTCTCTCTGACTTCCATAGTACTTGCACCCACTCAACCATAGCATAGCAGCGGCGAAGGTCCCAAATCCAGCATCACTCGCACTCGCCATACCATTATAGTATCTTACAATATCGTTGATGGTGATTAGTCCTCAGCACTTAGCTGGAACTTTCTCCGCAGTGTATACAAATGTGCGAGCTCTCGATGCATTTCACGTTGTGCACGTCATCCTAGGAAAAAGCTAAACAGGTCTGCAGCCTACATTAACGTAGAAACCTACAAAGTAGGTGGCCTAACGTTGATGTAGGCTCTAGGCCTGTTCAGCTTTTTCCTTGTATAAGGTGTGTGCATCTTTCTAGGGTGATGCATTTCTTCCACAGCCTGCATTGGAGGAAATCATCCGAGCCAGCCCACGCGCACAGATTGTGAGAGGCCAGTACAAGACGCCGACCTTCCTTGTTCATGGCACGAGCGATGACTTGATCCCCTGGGAGCAGTCGCAAGGCACGTACGAGGCACTCGTGATGAAAGGTGTGTTATCTGGCCTTGCTATCGTCGAGGGTGCGCCGCATATCTGCGACCTCAGTAGCAATCCCGAATCGGAAGGGTGGAAGGCTGTGTTGAAAGGCTATGATTTTCTTTCTGCCGCGATAGACCATTCCAGTTCTGCTGCTGCCGAGTGTTCCATCTGATCGGGTTCTTTCGGTTGCGATAGCTCTCATTCGAGAGGCCTCTAACGTAGAGGGTGTAGTATGGATTCGGAGCTCATGGGTGGCTCATTGGCGAAGGGATAATTCGGTATCAAGGATAATGCTGACTTTGAGAAAATGCGTAAGCGACAACTGTGGCTGCTGGTAGTATGGTCATATGCGAGGCTGTTGGAATGTGGGCAGGCCGGCCATCTCTTAGGCCCCTGGAAAAGCGCGGGGCTGGGCAGGGTCCAATTATGCGCTAACGACATGTGCTCGACGCCTACGTCACTATACCCTGCTTCATACACCTCCATGGCGCATAATCACTGCATCTACCAAGATTTGCATGTTCCAGTCGATCGAAGGTGGCCGGGGGCTCTCTTTGGTATTTCAATCGCGATCGCAATTCCTCGCGCTTCATCTCCATGGGCGTCAGAAGCACGGCGAGCCTTTCGAATGCCATGTGCACGCGCCATGTGCTTTCTTTTTCGCGCAGCTATTCGAGCTCCAATCTCATATCGTTCACAGGCGTCTAGCTTCCGTCGCACAACATGCCGGCTACCTGCCACATCTCGTACAACTGTTCTCTTCCCTCCGCATCTGGTCTCTGCTTAGAGCGTTCGATGAACAAGAAAAGCAATGACGGCTTTGCGACATTTGCTTTCGAGACCCGGTGCATCCGCAAAGCCAAGGGCGTTGTAGTGATCAGGCAACAGCGCTGTACGAGGCAGAAAGCGACTCCAACGGAAGGCGACATGTGGGGTCCAACACCACCGGGGAAAAGCAATACCTGGATCTGAGTTACGATCCAGCAGCACCCCATTGTAAGTGCTCAAGGTTACTACATCCAGGTCTAGAGCATTGGACACGAGATGGTTGCTAGAACCCGTAAAAGGTCTTTCACGAACCACTGTCACTTGCGCATGCCTCCACTAAGTAGCTTGGCTCACGGTCATTCCAATGCATCTCAGGCAATAGCTGGTACGATTACGGCGCGAGCATGTTCTCTTCTAATGAGCGACAACGCCCGCACTACGGACAAGAATGCTTCTGGAATAGCTAATCTGCACATGTCCTAGATAACCTTGCATATGGCTTATGCTGTGTTCAATCATCTCTCAGCATTGGATCTTGAACAGTCACGACTTCACAGATCAAGAGTGGTGGCGCCGAATCGTTGACAGGCCCCCACCTCAGCCTGATCACCTGCCGTGCCGCTCCACTTGATATTAGATTCAGCCTTGGGGATAACTCTGCGGCTTTGTCTCGTTCTTCTCTTCCCATCTCAACAGCCGTTCTTCGTGAGCCCAGAAACATCGATATACCTATTTGCCGTGGACAATGCACCGGTATACAAGTTCTTCGTCCCAGGGGACTGCCGCGAGCGGACAACAAATGGACCGAATTGAGCCTCATGAACAAGACGAGGCTGTAACACGATTGCGGAGTGCATCCATCCGCTCACGGAACGTCAGCCCAGTGCTTCGATCAAGTCTCGACCCAGTCTCAGCTTCCACCTCATCTCCAGTTCCAGACGCAGCTTTGGAAACGTCGGAACATGCTGCCAAGTCCAACCATACCGGAAGTTCCACCAAGCATCCGGCTGCCTCCTTATTCGGTAAACGCCCGAGGTGGAAACAGACGTGGATAACGCCTGCCACAATACTTGGCTTCTACTTCATGTGTAAGCATGACAAGTAGCGTTTTACCTCTGTTTGCTCACCATACTAACGTAGTCTAATCAGCATTCATCTGTGTAGCAGCGCACTACTGCTTCTTCGCATATCTCGACGGTCGTATCATCTTCCCAGGCTCTATCCCCTCCACGAAGACCACTACAGTCCCACAAGCCTATGCTACTACAGTATCGCTAGTGCTAGTCACCGCGTTTCGTGCTGCACTAGTAGCAAGCATTGCGACGTGCTATACACAATACCTCTGGGCAACGTTCAGAAATCGTGCACTCAAGGTACTATACTTCTCGGTCAAGCTAGCGCAACGGAAGCTTACAATGCGTAGATCAGCCTAATCGAAGATCTGTTCCAAATGCAAACAAACCCGCTCCGCCTTCTCAACTACCACTTATACTTCAAAACGCCAATGCTTGTAGCCGTAGCTATGTTTTGCTGGCTTGTACCTATTGCAACGTTGTACCCTCCAGGTACTCTAGTGGTCGGACTACAATCGTCTATCATCGATCAAAGCTTCAATGTGTCCGTGTTCCACCACAGGAATCTCCAAGACGTTGCAAACGACAATGTGATAGCCAAGATATATTGTGAGCAAGGGTGTATAGATGGCAGCAGCACAACTCCTTTTCTCTCAGATTGTCTCCCAGAATCTGCGGAGAACACGTCGTTTCTAGCGAGTTGTGGTACAGCAGGGTTAGTTGATCTTGTTTTTTTTTAGATCACGTGGCAACCGAAGTCGTTTCTGGAACATACTAATCCACTGACAGCATTACCCCTGGTATGGATTATATCATACGGTCAAATCTGATTGTAGGCGAAATATCCAGGCTGAAGCAATCAAGTAAAGAGAATAGCTCGTACGAGTTGGATTTCTGGGGAACGACCCTAGATTGCGAGACTACGAACCGCTCTGTGGAAAGCACGATCTTGCAATTAAGCTTTCTCGACTCGACATCCACCCCTTACCATCATCCGGAGATGACCTGGCAGATGCAACATAGTGAAGCCGACTGCGAGTTGAGGAACGACATATGGTCAGATCCCTTTCCTGGAAATGCATCGATCACTTTCCGCGTCGCTCACCATCAGGATACGCCGCAGTATTGGCCATGCTTAGACAAAACCAAATGGCACCCCACAATTAATGGTTCACTACCAGAACCTGGCCAGGACCTCGACTTTCCCGGCTCTGGCATACATGTTATTGTTCCTGTAACCGAAACCGTGTGTCGTCCAAGAATATTGAAATACTATGTCACCATCTCACACGCTGGAGGAACACAACATGTCTCGTGGGCTGTCAAAGACGAGGAATTTGTCCCAGAGTACACTAGCAAATTTGAAAGCTTTAATGGAACTTTTGAGCGATGGCTACAGCTTTCCGACGCTGTGGACATATGTCAGAACTTTGCAAGAGACTTCAACCAGTCTGGAACCACCTTCCAAGCCATCAATTTTGAATACCCCAACATGTCAAGCGGTACGAAACCCTACACAACTGAAAATGGTAGTGTGGTGGAAACATGCGTACTCGAAGCGGAGCCCCTATCGAATATCATGATTACCGACTCATGGCAAGGGATCTGGCCTCTGAGTGTTTTCGAGCAACGACTCCATGACATTGATAATACTTACTGTCCGGCATTCGACCCTGAAATGGCCAACGAGCTCCTCATCAACACCACAATCTCAGCACTAGCCCTAAACCAACGCTTCGACATCGTCAACGGAACAGAGACCCGTACTTTCAACATCTACCGCTTCGAGAACAAACTCGCCTTCTTCCTAACATACGGCCTCTCACTCGCACTCGCCATACCAGTCCTAGCGCTAGGACTCGTAGCTCTCTACGTCCAAAACCACGGCGTTTCGGCTATCAGTGGAGGTTTCATGCAGCTTCTTATGACGACTACTGGACGCGGTTCGCTTGAAGCGGTGGTTACGAGAGGTTCAGGTACGCTGGGCGGATACGAGAATGTTTCGGAGGAGCTGCGTGGGATGGAGGTTAGGTTTGGAGAGCTCGTTGAAGTTGGTGGGGATGAATTTCAGGAGACTGACACGCTTTTGAGTGGGCATGACGGGCTTGCTGATGTGCGGAATGATGATCGTTCGCAGTCAGGTGTGCAGGCTGCGTCTGGAACGGAGCGGTTCGAGAACAGCGTTTCTGTAGCGCGAAGAGCTGGCTTTGGCACGGTCGATGAAGTGATACCATTCAGGAAGGAAGCAGAATAGTAGTTGGGGGCTTTGTGCACTCGGAAGCTACGAAGGGAGAAAAATTGACGGGTTCGCACTGATTAAGGTTGTCCGCGCACTTGCAATGCTGATGGTTCAGCTCTGACGGTGACGGTGACGTACACCAGAAGTCACTTCGGTTAAAATCGAATCGCGTTACCCTCCGTAAAGCGGCACGTTGTGTAGCGCATCGCATTCGTGAGAACTCCGAAGGTGTTGTGATGATGAGCAAAAAGAGAGCAAAAAGAAGCAAAAGCAAAACACACAACGGCGCCCCCGGTGCAATGCCTGTACGTAGCTAAGCGGACGCAAATTCAAGCCTCAAAATCGAACAATACATACCACCTTCGGTTAATCTCTCTGAGGGTTTTCTGTTCGTGTTACTCGACACGAGTTATGGCGTTACGGCGCGAATTTCGGTGTTTTGTCGACCGTGCTCACCGGCGGTAAGATTAAGTCGCTCTTCGATATTGTCTACGGGCCGTTTCCAAGCTTACACCCGCGCCAGGGGGAAGAATGTATTGATGGTTCCTACCTTTCGCTCTCTCTTCTTCGCAAAGTTTGTTTTACACATTGAGTTCTGAGTTCATCGCCTAACTCAACAATGCAGACGCGCAAAAATCGACAGGCAGCTTTTGCGGCAGTCGCATTCCTTTCTGCCTTTGCATCCAGCTCGCCAGCTCACCCACTCAGGCATCGCGATGTAGCTGCCCTATCCGACGTTCATTCTCTAGCACTCCAAGAGCGTGGTATTCCTGTCGTCGACTCAACGGTCCCCCTCAGGCTGCGTTCAGGCGCTGGCAGACAACTTGCGAAACGCCAAAGCGGTGGACCATTACGCACCATCTATGACGGAGCGCAATACGCGATTGACGTGACCATTGGCACGGAGACGCTTCAAGTTTTGATCGACACTGGAAGCAGCAGTTTTTGGGTACCGAAGGCCGATTTCGTGTGTGTAGACGTAAACGGCACGCAACAGTAAGTCCAACGCATTACCCAACTCTCGTCTGGTACCTTGAACCTGATATTGAACTTTCCTCATTGTAGATCTCAGCCCACTTGCGGGTTTCCAAGATTCGGACCCAAAAGCTTTTCTGGCGGCCAAATCGCGGACCAGAACTTCAACGTGACATATGGCGGAGGGGAGTTTGCGACTGGCATTGTGGGTCTTGAAGACGTTGGCTTTGGAGGTGTGACGGTCAAGAATCAGAAGATGTCGTTCGTGGATAGAACCTACTGGCTGAGCGCAGGCAATCTGACTAGTGGGCTGATGGGTACGTACAGCATGTTGTCTGCTTTGATTATCTACTAACGAAAGTGATTAGGCTGGGGACTTGGTGCCACCACCGCCATCTTCGAGGGCGCAGACCCGTCCCAAGACGGCGGAAAAAAGCCCATCTTTGTCAAACCATGGCTGGAGACCGCCTATGACCAAGGCTTGGTCGCAAAGCCCATCTTCTCGGTCGTGCTCGGCAAGAGGGGTAAAGACGACGCGGACTTGTCAGCTACAGGTTTCCTTACGATAGGAGGAGCGCCATCGTCATCGTCGTTGCCGCTGACGGGTGCCTACGCTACCACGCCAATCCTCAAAGAGACGTTTGATCATTACCAGCTGGAGAACGAGTATGTCCACTATGTCATCCGACCCGACGGGTTTGTCGTCAACGGAAAGTTCATTGCCTGGGCCCCAGGTAACTCCGCGGGCACCCATTACGGCGACAGTCAAGAAAGGTTCACGATCCTAGACACCGGCACTGCTTACACCATGGCCCCGAAGGCCCTTGTGGCCACAATCGCCGCAGCCTTCGACCCTCCAGCTTCCTTCAGTCAGGATGACGGGCTTTGGGTGGCTTCGTGCAATGCGAAACCACCTTCTGTCGCCATTCGCATCAACGGAACGGACCTTCCCTACGCCTCATCAGACGTTCTCGTCGACGGCACTCTAGGCGTAATCGACGAGGAGAAGCAGACATGCATAGTGGGTTTCATGGAACCATCTACTCCGCCCTGGGGTGGCGACCTGCCGTATATTCTTGGAGCCAACTTCCACAGGAATGTGCTAGCGGTACACGATATTGGAAACAAGGTGATGACGTTTGGTGCGCTGAAGTGGAACTGATCCCGGGTTTATTGCGGCGCTTATAGCATACACAAGATTACATGTCGATAGAAAATACCTTCACATCTGTTATAACGTCAATATCCCATAGCTCTCTAAAGATCCCTCACGTTGTTCCGCGTAGTGTTCTTCCCCTTTGCGCGTTAGCGTTATGGCCAGCAGTTCCAACATGACCGTCAATTGACGGCATGGTGGTTGACTCCTTCTCTTCATGTCGGTCCGAGGTCGCGACATTGTACACTCAGGCCAGAAGATTACGCCGACAAATGGATGCTGAACTGTGCTAGCTCGATCCTCGTAATGCAGCAACGTACCTCACAGATATGCACATCACACAGCTAGACGTATCACCTATTTTATTTAGTCTTAGACTTGTTCATAGGCATAGCTAGGGTAGGGTCGCCTACGCAAAGACTACCGCAGCAAGACACAGAGCTCCAGGGAGACCCTGGATAAAGAAAATCTTGGTATTCGCCGTCCATCCTCCATAAACACCGGCCACAAATACACAACCCGCGAAGAACAGAGCGATTTGAGGCGCAAACACGGCGCTGGGGTGGACCAGAGACCACAAGAGGCCAGCTGCCAGAAATCCGTTGTACAGGCCTTGGTTGGCGGCCATGGTCTTGGTTTTGGCCGCAAAGTCAGGCTTGAGTGCAAACGCTTTCAACCCTGCTGGCGAGGTCCAGAGGAACATCTCCAAGGCCATGATGTAGACATGGAGGGCGGCTAGTAGAAAGACGGTAATAGAGGCGAGGAGTGGCATTGTAGGCGAAGATCGAGGGTTGGATGCGGTATCGGTTTTAAGAGAAATGATGACTTGATGGTATGCTCGGGTCTGGTGATGAGAGGGAATCAAGGTGAATAAATAGCTAGAGGCCACTTCGGCTTTATCTGAAAAACGCTAGTCTGAGCGCGTTGCAGGAATGCTAGCGATACGGGCAAATTCCCTCCTATAATGCCGAAGGTTTTCACATTCCCGCGAGAATTCGAGATTAAGCTATGAAAGTGTAGACCCCAGGGTGTTCAGTTTTTCCTAAAGTTGACATGCCCAGGGGAAAGCTATTGCGCAAATAGTTCTTAAAGCTAAGTGTTAGTTTGGTGGAGGCGGAGAGGCAAGGTTCCCAAAGGTTGAGCTGGTGGCGTTCAGGCGGGCAGCCGTGGGCGCCGGCTGTTGCCTAGCCTCCCTGCACAGCCCTAGCTGACTGCGGTCATCACCGCCCCGCGCCATAAAGCGACAACCACGTTGGATGTCATCTCCTGTTCTTCGTCGCACAACAACAGTTTCGCCACTAATCTTTCATTTACACTCCATCGTTCATATTTTCCATTGTTCATATTCTTAATTGCTACCCAAAGTACTGACAGCAAAGTTGCATCCACATTATGCGTCTACTAGAGATGAATGAAGATGGAGACCTTAGCCTCAAGGACCACCCGGAAGAGACTGAGCCAGAATATGCAATCCTCTCGCATAGATGGAGCAAAGACTATAAAGAGGTCGCCTTCAAGGATGTGATAGACAACACATACAGGGACACAAGAGGATATAAGAAAATCTACGGCTGTGGAGAACAAGCAAAATCGGATGACCACCAGTTCTTCTGGATTGATACCTGTTGCATCGACAAAAGTAACAGTGCAGAGCTTTCCGAATCGATCAATTCAATGTGGCGATACTACTGCAACTCTAAAGTCTGTTACGTCTACCTGGACGATGTTTGTGCGGATATCGGTGAGGCTGAGAGGAATACTGCGTTTGCCAAATCAAAATGGTTTACAAGAGGGTGGACACTCCAAGAGCTACTGGCACCTCCAAAGCTTGAGTTTTACGACGCTGGATGGAACTTCATCGGGACGAAAGAAGATCTAGCAGAAATGATCTGTACAATTACAAAAATTGATAAGCGCTTCCTTGGCTCCAATGTCAACTTACTCAGGCAAGCAAGTATTGCTGAGAGAATGTCTTGGGCATCAGGAAGAGAGACAACAAGACACGAAGACATCGCTTATTGCTTGCTCGGAATCTTCGACATCAACATGCCTCTGCTGTACGGCGAAGGCACGAAAGCTTTCCAGAGGCTACAAGAAGAGATTGTGAAGCACTCGGATGACCAGTCAATATTGGCATGGAGTTCACCATCTGCGGATAACGACAGCAGCAAGCTTTTTGCCCACTCGCCAGCTGGATTTGCCTCTTGTGAACATGTCGTGCGAAGCATACAATCAGGTCCAGTGAAGCCATATTCCATAACAAACAAAGGCCTCAAGATCAGTCTACCACTCCTCAGAGGAGGCGTTGACGGCGAATTCCTCGCGGTGCTTAACTGCACACGGCGACTCGACACATTCGGTAGTTTGGCACTTCCGGTAAAGCAGACGGGCAGCAGTCACCAATATCAGAGGCGCAGCGGCGAGCTCCAATCTGTTGCTTTCACCGATTGGGTGCGTTTGGGACAGCAGCCAATGTACATCAGCATGGAGCCGCTTGCTTATCACTCGACAAACCACCTAAAGGACAACACCTCCATTCTACACACACTACCGAAAGGCCATAAAGTCTCCCAGATATTTCCCTCTGGCCCATCGTCTCATTACACGCATACGTTTGAGGGAAATCGGCATTCAAGCTGTCCAAAAGATCCGGACAACCGAACACTTGTGGTACTCAGCTCAGAGACCAATTGCTGCTACCCTCTCATGACGTTCTTTCACAAGAATAGCTTCTTTCACGACTGCGTTTGGGATGCCCGGCTTCTTCCTGTTCTTATCGATGACAGCTCCGATATTGAACAGATCTTCCATGCATGGAAACGAGAGGAATTGTCGACACTGCCACGAGTTCAGCGTTTCTCTCATGGAGTAGTGGCGCTTCGCACCGTTCCACAGCTGATTCAAGGCCGAAGAGTTACCATGATTGACATCGTTCATATTCATCCGACTTCGATCGTTGCTCTGAAGATCCGCGAACAAGGTCTTGTAATCCTTCGGTCCGTTGGACACCGCCTATGTCGTGTCGTGTACTGGATCTTTGATAAGCTATTCGAGGGTTTCTCTCCCCGCGAAACTTTCCAGGCAGTAATGCCGATGCTGACTATTTACTTCACTTTCTCATCACCCAAACGAGACCAGGTCCAAGATCAGTCGTTCGCTGTAAGGTGGTATCATATAGCTGCTGTCTCATACTTTCTTGCTCTCAGATGCCTCAGATGGCTGAGGGAGACCCCCGCGGAACAATCACCTGTTCTAGGGTGGAAGGATATTCGAGACTTCGATGCAATAATAGGCTATTGCGCTCTTCTAGTAGTGTTCGTTTTTCTACCCTATATTCTTCTTGGAAAGGATGTCGGATATCAACATAAGACTATGTTACGTTTAGAATTTGCGTTACTAGAGCCTGTCTTTATGCAGGTTATAGATTCGACCATTTCTGCACTTGGACACGCATTACATCTGATACTCTATAATTTGTACAGTTAGATTAACACTTTTTCCCTTGTATGAGACATTGGGACCGACTATCGTGCGATTGAAAGGGCCCGAAAGTGAATGATAATGGCCAGAGAGTATTTGGTCTCTCGACGGCATCCGGCAAGTGGAGCAAGGCATACCAAGCATGCAGCGGGAGCGAAGAGATGGTTGGTCAGCTTCATCTTTCTTAGTATCACCTTAACCTTCTTTCTCAATACGATCTTACCCCGACGTAGTATATATCAGCTTTGAGTTTATCGCGTAGCAGAGTGTGCGACTTGGCATCATTGCGCAATAATTGACATGATTCGACGATGAGGCTGATAGGTGGGGCGGTGGTAGCAACGGTTAAAGGGCGGAGCTGTGGTAAAGACCGAGACGACAGTACGTGAAGACGACAAGACCTCACCGTGAGCCCTGAAGCTCTTACTACTATTGCGACCCAGAACTGTGACTCGAACTCAGAGCTAAACAAGTATTACAGCACAGTTGACGTATTCGCATAGCTGGAAAGGTTGAGCTAAGGGTGTACGAGGCTAACGCAGACGGTGCAGGTGGGGCAGCTGTGAGCGGCGCTTGTTGCTTAGCCCCGCGCCCCGCATGGCCCTTCCTACCAGCGACCGTGAAGCAACAACCACGTCAGCTATCGCCGTTCTCTTCTGGTATGTCATCAATTTCACTTCAGGTCCTCTACGCATGGCCCGATATAGCTAAAATTGAGTAGAACAGAATAGACAGATACGTAGGTTGAATTAAGCCTGGTTTAGGTGTAGAGAAGTTGTCGCAAGGACCTGCGCAGCACTCGGCCGTAACAACACTCGTGCCGAACACGGCCGGGATAACAGTTTTCCGCCATGGAAGCATTGCTAATACCATACTGATCAGTCCACAGTAGTAACAGTTCCAGCGCACCAGCTTGCGCCTCGTATAAGATGGCTACTTTTGCAGAACCCTCAGATACCTGCACTCGGCTCCGCCACAACAACGCTTTTCAGAACCAGACACATCTTCTACCATCTCGACCATAGCTATGATCGCTGTTCTCAAAGCTCTTCTCCTGACGAGTAGTCTGATACTTGCGTCAGGGGCAGTACCATCACAACAAAGCCGCGCACAGGTACGGGTTCAGAGCAATGCGTTTCTGGAAGGACAATACTCACACTCGATCAGAATCTGACATGTCAGTTCAACGTGGGCCTTGATACCGTAGGTTTACCAGAACCGAGCTTCCTCAAATTGTACTGAGACGCTGATTTGCATTAGTCGGATGTTGCAAACACCAGCTATGTACGCATGATGAAGAACGTCAAGCTTCCTGTTTCCGGAACGACATACCGCTACGCCATCAATCCCCCATTCGACACGGAAAAGCCGTATCTCTTGTTCCTTCATGGCTTCCCAGATACTTCGTACGGTTGGATCAACCAGATCGAATACTTTACCAGGCGCGGCTACGGCATCATAGCCCCAGACCTTCTAGGCACCGGCGGTACAGACAAGCCCGTCGAACTGGAAGCTTATAGTCTGAGAACAATGGCATCTGATATTGCTGAACTGCTCGACTGCGAAGGTCTCGACAAGGTAATCGCAGTTTCGCATGACCTGTAAGTCCAACAATGCCACATGTCATCTTGTTTCTAGACCGCTAGACTAACGTGCCTTAGCGGAGCTTATGTACTCTCCCGCTTTCACACGTACCAGTCCCAGTACCTCTCAGCTCTTGCATTCTTAGATATCGGCTACAACGCCCCCGGCACAGACGTCAACCAAACCTTCGTCGAAGCTTACAACAACATCTCTCAAGCAACATTCGGCTACCCCATTCTCGGGTACTGGTACTTCTTCGATGAAGATGACGCGCACGTCCTTTTGGATGCACACGTACGTTCAACATTATTACCGGTCATGAGCTCAAGCTTACCATAGTACAGTTGGATTCTCTATACTCTCTCGCGTACTCGTTCAATGCACCGAAAGTAATGGCGGAGAATTTCAACCCGGTTGGTGCACTTCAAGAATGGCTCGCAGCTGATAGAAGAGCGGAATACGGCAATGACTTCATCACCAATTCGACTCGGGAGCAGTGGAAAACCATCGTTCGCGCCCAGGGAGGCGTTGAGGCAAATCTGAAGTGGTACAAATCTTACTTGCGGGGTATCAACTCGGCTGATGAGAACGAGATTCGTTCGATGTCGGGAGTCATTGAGCAGCCTAGTCTGTTCATCGCGGCCGAGAGGGATTCGGTCGGTATTCCGTCAGAGCAGTTACGTTCCACGCTGCCATACTCTCCGGGAATGCAGATTAGAACTGTTGATGCTGGCCATTTTCTCCATATTGAACGAGCTGATGAGGTCAATGAGGCACTCTACGACTTCGTTCAGGGGCTTCAATAGGTGCATACAAAGGTAGCAACGGGATCTGCGAAAGGCTGGGGTGACTTACTCCTCTTCTTCTTCTTCTTTTTTGAGATGTTGTAGTTAGGATAGTTGTTATAATGGAAAGAGATTGTTTGGTGATAACTCTTCTTCTCTGTGCGAGCACATATGCTTGCGGTTTTCATCATTCGAGCAACTCTTTGCGTTCGGCTTGCTAAAAGTTTTAAAAGACTTGAGCAGCTCAGTCGCTCTGCGTCATCGCGACGTTCGTGAAGTCAATAGCTCAAGTATGGCATCGCACTTGAATTGCGTCAAAGTCAGCTGTTCCCATAAGTGCCTTCTTGAATACATAATCTAACCTAGTAACGAGGGTGTGCAATGCTTTTGGTTCGTTTATGACTGTCTGGACCGACAGTGACTGGTTGGCGTGAGATTACGCGGTGATCAAAGACTAGAGAGGGGTAAATAGAAAACTTTTGGTAAGGTAGTTTCATTTCGAATACGAATGCGTAAGTAATTCAACAAATAGATCAATCAAAAAGCAGGAACGCTCCAAAGAGAACTTCTGAACATCAGCTAGGCTACACTCGCAGCATCGTTCTTTGCCATCTGCTCCAAGTGGTCACAGAGACCCCTGATCTTTTCCTCAATACTGGCATTGAAGGCTACGGCTTTCTCAGGATCCCTAGGCGGCGCACCCATGACAGGAAAGTCAAGACGAGACTTTGCACACCATTCACTCACCTTAGGCTCTGCCATCCACTTGAGTCTGTTCTTCATAGAAGCGAGAAGAGTCGTAGGATATTCCGCCGGTATGCGAGTGTACGGAAAAGGGTCGCAAAGATAGTTCTTGAAGTCTTCGTTGTCGTAACTGGCTTCGACGTGTCCAATGAGAGCGGCGCTGAAGGTGGGCTGGAAGAACTTTATGTTCTGAATTGTAATGTTTCTGCCATTGAAGACAGGAGTAGGCGGCACGTTTCCTAAACCAGGCGCAGTGCAGTCGATGAAGAGGGTGTCAGGCACAGGAGTGTATGTGCCCTTCTCTAAAGTGACCTTGTCTGGGTCAATGCGCTTGACTCGTCCCTGGCGTATGATGTTCTTGACTTTCTTGACCTCGTCGAACTCCGTCTTTGTCACAATCGCGTGCCTGAACATGGTCGGCTCGATACTCTTGTCTAGACGGTGAGCATGCCCGAGCTCCTCCATGCGATGGAACATCTCTTGAGAAGTTTTGGACCCCATGATGGCAGCGGACTTTTCTTCCTGCAGTTGTTCAGGGTTGGGCGTCGTCTCTGGAGGTTGAAGGGTAGCGCGTTCCATAAACCAGGAGTCGCGCGGCATGATCCAAGAGATGTTGTCCGGGGCAATGCCTTGAGCTAAGAGCCACGAGCATGCGTCGACTGCAGTTTTCCCGGCTCCGACAATTGTATAGGCGCCGTAAGGTCGCTTCAGTGTTGTTGCTAAAGCGTTGGGTGTGACAAGATTGGCTTTGTCTGAAACCTCATACAAAGGTGGACCCATAGAGGGAACCGTGACCTTCACGTATGTGGAGTCTACAATGCGAGTGTTTGGTCCAACCCGGATGGTTCTCCCTGTGGTAATCGATTGAAACTCTCCATTGCCAGTGTAGTTGTGCAGTGGGTAATGGGTTACGCGACCGGACGGAAGGAGAGTACTGTTCAGGACCTTGGTGTAGTAGGCAACAATCTCGTCGCCCGTTGCCACCTCGGCAAGGCCCTTGTTGAATCCAACTTGATCAATCTTTTCGTCTCCGAGCTGTCGAGAGTTGACACCGTAGACGTGGGACGGTTGATGGAGGGTGACAAAGGGATAGGCAACTGTCCAATGACCTCCAGGACGGGAATAGCGATCGACAATGGCCACCGTAGCCTCCTTCTTGTCGGAAATCAAGGTATCAACGAAGGCCATGCCCATAGCACCGGCGCCAATGACAAGGTAGTCGACGGAGATAGTCTCGGTCATGCTAATTCCTGGCATCGTTCCTGAGGTACGTAGGTTGGAAGAGTCGTTTAGGGGGTTGTTGGTATGTTTGAGACGAAGAGGTGGCAGTTTTGGTGTAGCAAGAATAGAGAGGAGAAAGCAGCACCATATACCTTAGTAGATACCTTGTCCGGCCGAGACGCCTACACTAGATTATTTATCAGAGTCCAACAGACCGTTACTTCGGCACCATTCGCTGTCAATGTTGACAGTACTCTATGATTCCTTGAACTGTCCGTGTATGTTTCCTGTACATTGCTGCCGAGCCTGTTGTTGTGACAAAGTTGCCCCGGTCGGTCAGAAGCTCCAGTTTACGGACGTAAACAACGGAGCCCCACTATAACATCCTGGCTTGAAAGTGCCAACCTGCCAAGCAGTACTTGAGGCAAGTTTACGGACGTATAGGTACCCTACCATGGAGCCGTTGCGTACGAGCTTTGGCATCTCGCGATCCTCCGAACACGGCTGGAGATAGAGGTTCGAAGTGGCTTAGGTGCGGGCTCGTATCGCTACGGGTTCGGCTTCAGGTGCTTGAATTGGCGGTTCTTCTTATCTACCAGAGCACAATTGTATACAAATCGGAGGTCGCTGGTCTAGTCTTCGTCATCGCCATAGTATGGGCAAAAAAAATGGCAAAAAGAAGGATGTGCAAAAACATACAACAGCGGGGATTCGCTAGTGGTCACCCACCTAACTACTAATCCGCCGGTACACTGCTTGTATATGGCTGAGCGGACGGGAAGCCTAATTCTCAGTGTCCTATGGTCGTATGTGAAGGAAAGGGCGACTTGGTGGTATATGAAGCTATTGCATCGGCCTCGAGAGAAGAACGGCGGCGAGGACGGTATGAGAGGCGTCATGGGAGGGCCGCGATCGCTGGAGACAAGACCAGCACTACGATGTGCTCAGTGAGTGGACCTGTGGACATAATGCAGTCTGTCCAAGCCTGTCTCTTCGTCGGTCCTTGAAGACTCGCTGCGGTACGGCGCAGGGCGCTACCAAGGTATAGCTGTGATGGTGACGCATGCCGAGGGTGTGACCAGCTTGATACTGTAGAGCGGAACAGACACAGCAGTAGCAGTGGTAGTGGTGGTAGTGGAGCGGAGGAGTAATAGCCAAGATCCAAGTACCTCCTTCCTCTGCTTCAGGAGCCTCGTGGCATAGCGTGCATAGGCACGTGCGCAGGCGCGTCCACGTTCCAAGGCGCGTTAACAAGCCGATGACGTAGCGTGGCTTGGGGCCAGCCATCAACACCTGGGCAAATGGCGCATACATATCCAAGGCTGGGACTGGCAGTCGATAATCCATCTTCTTCAACAGCTACATAATGTTTACCACCAAGACAACCTCACTGCGAGCTCAGTCTCGCGTACCATGCCGGGCCAGGTGCCCAGCAGCGAGGAGACCGTATGCGACAGACCATGAGCAGCGTACGAAGGAGACGCTGAAGACATCATCGCGATTGACATGGTGAGTAATTGCTATTCCAACTCTTTGCGCGGTGCGAATTGCGTCCTCATACCGGCTGGACACGCCGTACTGACTCCGCTAGGCTCACCACGACCGCGGCCGCCGGCGCTGCAGCCCTCTACTACACCACCACCCCATCCACGTCCTCCGCTTCCGCCTCAACCTCCACGTCCTCCTCTGCGCAATCCACCTCTAAGGGCTCTCCACCCTCCCCGCCATCACATGATACCAGCCGACCAGGCCATCGCCACGAATCCGAGTACGCCTCCGACGTCCCCAAGCCCGTGGAAGACCGCCACGGCGACAGCGTCACCAAACACAGCATCGCCGCGCACAAGAACCAGAACAAGGTTCGCGAGGGCAAGTTCTCGGGCAAGGAGTTTGACAATCATGAGCAGGTGCATTCGCCGGGGAAGCCTGGAGGTGACTTCGAGGTCAAGCGGTAGGATGGAGGAAGGGATAAGGGAAGTGAAGATGGTTGAGCGTAGTAAAATGGATTGCAAAGTCATTGAGCGCACTCATGTTCTCGGTCGATATCGTATATCCATATTTATTTCGTTTCCTCTGTCGTGGAGAAAAACAAGATACGTCAGCGATTCATCCTTTTCGCATGCATTCTATCTTTGGCTCGTATATATCTTCGATCTAGGTCTTGTTTGCATCGCATTTTCGCATGTCTACTGCGGTCCAAGACCTGCATCCCTTAACTCCTTGAAGAACTTGTTAGAAAAAGCCGAATCGACAAATTCCAAAAACTTGGTAACCTGCTTCCCGTCCTCCGTGAAATGCAAGACTAGCGCGTATTCATTCGCGTACGGCCCAATGTCACTGTCTGCTGTACTCGTCGCATGCATGATACATGTATGCGCATCTGCATCATGCACCTCTGTGTGGACGGTGACCTGAGGCGATGTTAGTTGCTTGAACTCCAAACCACAACTTTGCGTCTTACCTTGAAGTTCCTGAAATGTGGCAGCATTTGACTGAAGCGCTCGCGATATTGGGTGTTGTTCTGGATTGGCCGTCCTAAAGATGCAGGAAGGACTTGTTGTGTGCAATCTTCCGTTCGATAAGCCATGATCTTGTCCATGTTCCAAGCATTGTATCCGTCGATGACGGCCTGGGCCGTTGCTTTCTGGGCGGCGAGAGTGGACATTGTGGATACGTTAGGTGATTAAAGAAGGAAGATATTGACAGTAGTGCAGTGGTATGTTGCTGTGAGGTTGTATTTAAAGCCTATGTACATGTCCAACTCACCACAATAGGCTAGCATGAAGCGGGCAGGTGGCGGGGCTGATGCACACATGCTCATCTACCGGTGGTGGATGCGCGATGATTTAGGTTTGTAAAGATGCGTCATGCACTAGGGCGAACATGTTGCGCGCCGAAACACTCACCACACAGCGCGCATTATGTTCCGCTGCTTACGCTGCCTCGGCCAGTTGCGCCTTCTCACATGCCCCAATGCACTTTCTCCCAACCCAACGCCTTGATAGTGGCATGTCACAGTATGCCCATAGTATCGCGCATGCGCGCTTGATCGCTGACGTTCACATGCAGGAGTGCGCAAAAAGCAAAACGCCTCTATTCTGTATTTAACCCCTGTCATTAAGAAAATTGCGAAGAAAAGAGGAGATAATGAGTCTTTGATCCCCGAGGTCAGGCTGGAACATAGTTCTGGTTCGGGCTGAGCATCGACTCGGAACCGTCCCCAATCAGATGCTCCCTCGAAAGGTCCAACACTCTCCGGATCAACTCCTCCGAGAGCTCTTTCTCTTCGTATTTCGAAATTGCAAGAGCAGTCCTAAGCAGATTCTTTATCTCGCGACCATTCAGTACGTACCTATTGATAGGTATTAGTAACGCTACGTGGTGCCTATAGGTACTGCTTACTCTGATCCGAGACGCGACAATGTTGCCTCGTCCCAACTTCCAGACCCGACTTTCCTCAAAAAGTTTCTCCAGATGTTAGTACGACGGGCACTATCGAGCGCTTCATATCGAATGGTTAGATGAATCCGAGATTCGAATGCCTTGTCAAAGTCCTCGAGACGGTTCGTTGTCAGGAACATGGTGCCTTTGTAATATTCGATGAGGCGAAGGAACACTTTGCGAATTGTTAGTCGTCAAGAAACTATGAAAGGCCGATTGACATCCTAGGTCTCGCTGGAGGCTTACCTGAAACATAAGCGTTTCGCTTGAGATCGGTTGCGGTCCTTTTAGCCAGAAACACGTCTGCTTCATCGAGCAATATGATCGCGTCCCACGCCTTTGCTCGGGTGAATATGGTACGAAGCTGGACATCCGTCTGCTCGATGTCTGTACCCAACTCGCCACTGGTTATGGAGTACATAGGACACTGAATGTGCTCAGCGACAGCCTCTTGACGCCGTTAGCTATTTTTCCGACCTCGCTCAGGCTCCCACGTACCTGCTGTCAGAGTCTTGCCGAGTCCCGGCTTGCCATAAAGGAGGAAGACAAGACCCTTGCCCTTGCCCGGTACAATATCCTGGTAGATCAGCGTCTAGTTGGACACGCCAGATTGGGTATAGCTTACATCGAAGTCATCTTGGTTTTGATGTGCCGAAACCATCGCGAGGATTGCAGTCTTCATTCTAACATCCAGTTCGAGGCTCTCAAATGCATTTGGATGCCATTCAATATCCCGTACTTCATCGACCAAGAAGAAAGCCCATATCTTTTCTACAAAAGAGTATCCTCTTACTCTAGCAGGGGTGAGAAGGGCTTGGTCATCAGAGATTTTGTAAGCTGGGGTATTGAGATGAGACATGAACCTGTCTTCCTTATCACTAGCCATGCGCGCCATGCTTTGGTCTTCGATCATGTCGTAGTCTTTGTTGACTGTATATCCATCGTCGTAGTCCATTGTTGCGCCCGACGTAGAAAGGAACGTCGCAAGACGCGGTGTAGCTTGTGCGTGTGTCTCGTAGTCTAACATGACCCGCCCCGAAACCTGATCACGTTAGTAATCTTCAAAGTCTTGACGCTAAACTTACATGGCCTGGTATCAATTTGTCGACATGAACAATGCGTTCATGAGGAGGCTCCGACCAAGCCAATGCTGCTCAGTCTGTTAGTCAGTACGAGACGAATAGCTCTAACACTGACCATTATAATGCATGTGAGTTTTCTCCAAGATTTCTCTCCACTTCCTTCCGCGCTGTATCAGCCTTTCTCTTAGGGTTTCCGTATTTTCCTTCTTGTGAAATCGTATTGGGTACACCACCAAGGTATCGATTTTGACCGGAGTGGGAAATTCCCTGATCTTGAGTTTCTCCGTACACATGCCGAAACGTGTGCCATTATAGTCCCATCTTTTAGCCTCAATCTTGAAATACGGTGTCAAGTCGTCGTCAGTGCCTTGACGCACTTCTGGCACGTATTCGCAAGTGTCAACAGTGTAGCACTCGTCGAAGTGATCGCCTTGAGCAATGATCACCTCTTCCGGCCTGAAGAGTGTCCAGAGCAGAGGATAAGAGACCATTTGGTAGGGTTCAGAATGTCCGTAATCACGTTCGGTCTGCGACAGATTCTTGTCCATGAACTTAATTAGCACATCCAAGTGCTCTTTCTCGACCACTGTCCTTGATTTGTCGGAAGCATAGCTTCGAAGTTCCTTGCGGTAATGAAACAGTGGTGCGTACGGCTTGGAGATGGCGACGAAATCAGAATCGAAGTTCATTGAGGGATGATCTCCCAAGACATTGCGGAAGGCCCTTAGTATCTGGGGTGATCGAACTTCAAGATCTGTCGATTGTCGTTCGCCCAACATGTTGAATCTTCTCCGCAGAACCAGGATATAGTCCTCATATCTGGCTGAGACGCTGGATTTAGCTTGATGTCGGTTGGGGGTTAAGGTAATCAATGGCGCATCTCCCCATTGTTCTTTCTCGCGAATGTCTACCAGATCAACCTTGAAATCGAAAGGCTCCTCGTCGTGTGCTGAAACTGGTTGTGTAGCTGTGGTCGGGACGTTGGCAACATCCTGGAGGATCCCCCGTCGCGCGGCGCTGTAATCTTCCACCGACATCGGAGAGTGTCTTTCTTTTCAGATCATGATAACAGAGTATGCTGTGAGCGTTTTGAATTGATGCGGCGACTTGGGCTTCGTATGACACATGGTAGCATGGTAGGGCTATCACGTACTCCTCTGCCCAAACTCTATTGCGGCTTAGCAACGCAAGTACGCATAGCGAACTTCCACGTATTCAGGTCATGCATGAAAGATCGGGGCGCAGTTCGTATTTCAGACCACGTCATCATGAAGATGTATCGAGAGAAGTTAGATCGATGCAGCCTCGTCCCCTTAAAGGTCGTCAAATGTAATGCAACCTATCAAAATAACGGCCTTGGGTCCTTACTAAGACGGACGAATAAATGTCGCCTCGTTGAGGTATGTCAGCAGCTGAACTGCAAGGCAGAATCGTCCTGCAGGACAGGATCTTCGCCAGCCCGTGCCGAGATGGGTTAGCCTCATGCAGCCTCGTCGCTCAACGAGCAGGTTGCAAGCATTCTGATGCGCAGCCTTATGCTTGACTAGCCGACATTGAACGTCGAGGGTCTAGACTACAGAGCCAGAATGCGGATGATCACTGAAATTCGAGCTTACGTGCATGAATCCCACTGCTCAGCCCCTAGACTTGCAGCTCTATCGTTATGAGGCTTTCGGGCCTAGCAAGCCCATACCCGTCGCATGATCTAGCCTGGGGCGATGTGATACATTCACATCGTAGACTGTAAAAGTTTCGCTCTGCACTTGCTGGTTGTTGGATACCTCGGGCTGGGAGCTTTGAAACCTTGGAAGCCATGAGCACAGAACAATCGCTCTTGTGAGATACACGCCCGCTGAACCTACGTTAAGAGACTGACTTTGTAGTGAGCGAGAAAAGCAGACTCCGCCACTAGGGCTTGGATACAACTTACCCGAAAAGCCAAGCAAGCGAGGAACTCTCTCCAGAAGCAATCATGTATTTACGTTCCAAGGGGAAAATATCATGAAACGAGCGACCGAACATGAAAAATACAGCAAAGGTGGCATGCGCTTAACCGGGCTACCAAAGTTCGACGATCTGAAGAACTACGGTATATCCACGAATACCGAGAAACACCTCTGGACATTGGAAATCCGACGATTGACAGTCGACGCTGCATCTGAAGATGCGCTCATATTCGACAGTAGCGGAATCTTCGACCGAACAGACCCGACGACATTTGAGAACCTCTCAAATCTTGCTGACCAAATTGCATGCAACTTTTCAATAGTAGTACACGATAATACCCTGCACGTACTGGAACATTGCCGTTGGATTTCGACCCTTTCGAATGCAGTCCGGAACTTCAAAGATGCCAGAACGCGACTCACCACCAGATATGAACAGGACGAAGAAAAGGTGAAAGCTCGTCGTCCAAAACTACTCGAATCCGCCGACGACAACCGGAAGGTATATTTCGCCCTTGTTGATTACATCACTAGCCAGGTTGCTAGGCTGGTGGTGCGCTCCGCAACAGGCGATTATTGGAACCATCACTCCCTCGCAATCCTAGCCAAATGGTCTGCGAAGCTGAAGATACTGTCATATAACCCGGCTCAATACGCCTCTCTTTCTCTAGCTGCCGCGGAAGAGCTACTAGAAAGAATGAAAGATAGCGAGACCAAGGACAACGTGCAGGTATTGAAGGTCCGCGCTACGGATGCGAAGGAAGAGGACAAGGAAGACATGGACATCAACTCGCAAGCCGAAGCTGACATCACAGGCTACTACTTCCAGGATCACTACGGGATGCAAGTCTTCCTTTCACAGCTCTTCAACTACGCGGTGAATGCACTGTACGCATCTGAGAAGACTGGAACTCCGCCCAACTGCTTCGAAGTCTGCACATTGGCATATGAGACGGGCCTTCGACGAAGTCTGACTGTAATATCGAGCGATCGCCGAGGTGACGTAGCAGCGACTTCGGACGCTACGCATGTGACCTGCAGCTACACTGCTTTTCAGAATTTGAGAAAGAATGTTGAACATCTCAAAGCAAAACGCCAACCGCCCCGCGACGATGCGCGTGACCAAACGCGTATCCACTGTCAATACACCGAGGGCTCCGTATCAGAAGTCCACGACTTCCGTACATCACGCTTCGACGACATAGTTTCCATCATGATTCCTCTATCATTGACTGATCCTTTTGTCGCAATTGGAATGGGCCTGATGCTGGACTTTGCGACGGGCAACAGCGAAGACGAAGACCCCGTGCTACAGTTTGAGCGAAAACATTTTACCGCCAAATTCGTGGTGACGACTGCAGCGTGGGAAGATAGACAGCACAAGCTCAAGTTTACTAATGCCGCTCGTCAACCTGATCTAGAGGTTTTGTCAGTGTCTCAAAGTCCTTTGAGTAAAGCGATACGTGGTAAGGCTATTTCAACCTTTCGGATTGTTTGGGCTGTACTGACTATCAGAAGCTGGTACTAGTTTTAAGGACATCTTAGCAACACCCCCAGAACCGGGAAAGGTTGATCCGCTATCATCAGGTGGTAGCCCGGGTAGCCTGAGCCAAGCCAATTTGGAGAAACAGAGGTTCGCGGAGATGCGCATGAACGAATGGATCATATCCGAGCTCACGGTGACGCTCAAGTGCCACCGCTACGTCTACACCATTCTCTGTTTTTGCGCCGTGCTCATATGCGGTGCAACAGCAGTTCCGTTCTCAGTGCAGAACCGCCTCAAGGGAGTCGATCCATTCAACATCACCACCTTCGCTTGGCTGCTAGCTGGTTTCATCCTTGTGATAGCGAAATCACGCTATGTTTGCGAATGGCCGTGGCATGACTTCCTACGCGGACGCGTGGTTTGCAAGTCGATCAAAGAGATGGCTGACGTGACGGGTATCGACGATCAGATGATTTTGACGAGCTTACTACACAACGAGCGGGACACCACGCTCATTACCAAGGGCCCGTATAACGGCATGTTCGACCGGCGGGCCGAATCGGGGAACGAAGGTTTCAGTATCGATATTCCGGTACACCTATCGACGATGCTTGCCAGCGGTTTTATTGTGTTGAAGGTTCTGTCTGTCAAAGGTGAAAGATTGATCTGTCTGGATGTAAGGAAAGGCTCGGAGTGGGGATCTAGTGCGGCGATGCGACATCAAAATTCGGAGTTTTTGACGTGCACGGATTTGGATGATGATAGCGATGTCAACGAGGAAGTTCGGGAGAATCCTCACGGTACGGCTAGGAAGAAGATAATGAGGCTGAGTAGGATCCATTTCACGTGGACGAAGGTGCTGGGCGTGTATGTTAAGGATTCGTTATTTGGCTAATCTCATACCTAGTTAGTGTGCGTTTGAAGTATTGTACTACGCAGCATCGATCACAACAAAGCTTTGTCTTTTCCAGTAGACGTGTTCGGTTTGTGGAGTGTCACGGAGAGTCAAAGGGGCCGAGGTGGCAGGGTGGCGGCCTCGGCTGTGAGATAAGCGACAATCACGTGTCGATAAGCGATGACGACCGCCTTGGCGACTTCGGGAGGTAAGGAGGCATCCCAACACTCTCACTGCCTCTCTCTTGGCAATATTGCGACAACGCGTCTTGCGACGTGTAAATCGCAAACGCCACGGCTATCCAAACGGATTTGAATAACGTAACTTTGAGCTTGTGATAAGAGAGACGCCGCGCGGCACGCGCAACACCAGCCCTGCAGCGCGATCGTAAGAACTTCTTGCGTCATGCCTCAATATAGTGATGCCGCCCGGCTGAAGCCAAGTCACTACGTTACATCTACAGCATGGGGCGCAATTTGTGCTGCCTTCTGGTTGTTTTGGCAGTTTGCCTCGTCGCTGCCTTCCTCTACTAGCGCCGCCACCAACTCATGTTCTCAACCGTTGCACATCACGTTAAGCCACAAGATCGAACTTGCATGCCTGATCGCAAACTTCCAGAAACGCTAATCCATGATCTATCGAGTGGCTGTTCATCTGCTCACTGGTGGACGGCGACGCCACATTTCTCGGCGGAGCGCAAAAAGAAATCATCGTAGGCACGATTACCGCAGCACGCGCCTGATGCCATCGTTTCTCTACCAGTCTGCCTGAAGGAGAGAGGGTAGGCTTCACCGCGCCAAAGATCAAGGCAGACTGTAGGCTCCAAACGTTTGTTTTCCGATGCTAACCATGCAATCGCCAAGTCAGGTATATGTTGATAAGGCTCGCACGCTCGACTTAAGACCTCTATCTCTCTACATGGCTTCATTAATGCATATACTTCCCGGCACCTAGCTAGTAGAACCCGATGCCACTTGCGCGAGAGATAGGCACACAACGCACATCTCCACAGATCATCATGGCCGGTCAGACTTGTTACGACACCACTACGTCCCTCACAAAAAATGAGCAGGAGATCCGACTCATCGAACTTCTCCCAGGTCTACCACCAGCGGAACTCGAATGCAGACTTAAAACGGTTTCGTTGAAAGACCATCCATCATATGAAACAATGTCATATACATGGGGACGACCAGAGGACACCAGTACAATCCTGGTCAACGATATCCACACTTCAATTCCAGCCAATCTCGAAGAAGCGTTACGACATTTACGAAGACCCGACATACCACTTACGATTTGGGCAGACTCCATATGTATCAACCAAAAGGATGAGGCTGAAAAGACATGGCAGGTAGCCATGATGGGCGAGATATACTCCTCTTGCACGTCGGCATATATCTGGCTCGGCATACCGCAGAATGAAGCTGAGCCACATGGTGGGGAGGACGATCTCGGTGCGGAAACGGCAATCAACCCATTCACATTAGCTTTGCATTTCGCCAACGACAGTCATTCGTGGGAACTGCCATGCTTCCAGCGATCCGGTCCTACAGGTCAGTGGGAGTTCTTTCCATCACTCCTCTTCCAGAAGATCTATTCAGGATATGTGGAAGCCTCTACACGGGCCTGGTGGTCGCGTGTGTGGTGTGTACAAGAAGCCATCCTCTCTCCGAGCGCTATCGTTGTATTCGGCCAATGGCGAATCCC